TTTTTGTCTTTGTAAGATAGCTAAATTTTCCTTAGACTTGAAGACTAAAGACATTAAATTCTTTAAGACATGAATACTATTGACAAGGCCTAATTTACAAGTAATGCGGTAGATCGGACAAAAAAAAAAATGAAATATTTACAAGAATTCTGAATTTCTTTACCTGCATTGAAACATTTAACTTTATTATCGTTCGATGGCAATCGGTAAGAGGCTGAATTGCTGGTATCTTGTGATAAAAGTTCGTTGCCATCAACTGTTGTTGTTTTCAATAGACCTGATAAAAAAAAAATACAGTTGTAAGACTGGTATTATCAGTAGAATAGTATATTTTTAAAAATATGTAACTTTGAAGTGTGGCAATTTTGTTCAAGACTAGATACAATCTGGATCTTTTTCCCCTAAAATCTGCATACATGCAGTTTTCTTTCTTCATAACGGGCACTTTTTGCATCGTATGAAAACATGAAGATAATGAGCAGTGATCAGTCTCGAAAAAAATCTACAAACAAATATAAACTGTGAACAGGGCATAAAACATGGACCCCCGGAAATTCCATATTTAGATGGAATCAGGTGCCTTGGAGGAGTAGGTATCCCCTGTTTCTGCATACAATTTATTAGGGAAAAGCAAATAAGTACACCCTAGTATGTTTTCAATATTTGGTATAGTTACATAAGTTTCACATTAAGATATCACAATTATTAAAACCTACCATCTCTTTTAAGTCTTAATGAATTCATTGTGCTCTGGTCGGAGCCGTACATAGCAGAGCCGTCAATATAGTGTGTGTTCTGGTTAATTTGTTGACGTGGGCCTGTAAAATAATTAATGATTAATTGAAGTTTAAACATAGCAACAGAGAAATGCTTATGCAGGTTACTCTGGTTTAACCGAAAACGATAGAAGTTTAAATGACAATGTAAAACATGTGCATTTTTTGTAAAATGTAAGACATTAGTTCAATTTATGTTATGATATAGATTACAAATTCTGATCAATTTTTAAAAAATGGTAGTTTGATACTATTGCATTGCTAAATTTATAGCAGATATAGCACTTTTAAGTACCAGTAACCTATGCAGAACTATGTATCAAAAACTGCAGTAATAATGACACATAAAATTTTTATAAACCTTCATTTTGGATTATTTTTAAAATAGCTCTTCATTTTAGTTTTGTCGAAGAAATTAAGTTTGCAGTATTTGTAAATTAAATACTAGTTAATGTATTCGTAGGTGTTTTGGGAATTGCTTCTATCTTGATAATGGCTGTCAAATTTTGGCCATTTACAGCTTGAATAGTCGTTTTATCTTACCGTTGTCTCAATCTCTGTGATTCTTCTTACATGTCCGATCTACCGCATTACTAGTACATGTTTATAACTCGAAAATTCTTAATGAATTTCTAAAGTTATAAAATTTGTGCACTAAAATTGGTTCATGAATTTTCAGACTGTGATTTTGATGGTGTATTCTGTAGGACACGAAATACATATGAAGAATGCACAATATTTCTTGTGTTTAGACGAAGGCATTGACAAAGGTATTACTTTCCTTAATGCAGTATTTACATGTTGTATTACTTAAGTATTTATATCGAAATATATACTTTTTAGTCGTAATTTGCATATTTGCTTCCTGAATAAGAAACATTCTTTTAATCCGGATAGGAAACGTACAAACTACATGAAACGCCTTGCATATATATCCTATTATTTTTCTTTTTAGGCCACACAGAGGCAAATTTATAAGAGTAAGGGGGAAAAGTAAATTTTGCTTTTGGAAGTTGAACACTTTTTCGTGAGCAACATTCTAATTTACAAGTTGTTTTAAACTGAACAGTATAAAACTGAAATGTAAGGGACAATGATGTGTATTAAAGCTCATTAAAAATATTCTTGGTGTTATTGTTCTTTCAAACGTTCTTGGTAAAACCAAACGCAAAACCAAATTACATGCTGATGGGCTATTTTTCCAGTTTTGATCATTTCTTATTCTGTATAACACTTTGAGCTTTGTCACAATACAAGCATATCTATTAAACTTGTCAGCATAGTCAATTCATAGTTTTCAAGTTGAGAGTTTGTAAAACTGACAAAAACCGCATACTTTGTCAAAGATTGGTTTATAAAATATATTAATACAAATTGAAATACAAGGGTAGCTTGGTAAAATCCTTGAAAACGCTGTTTTTATTAAACTTAAGATATGGTGGAATGCAAAACTGAACTTATTTTTATGATTAAGAAAGTTACAAATGTTCACAGAGTCTATTCCTTTCTTAAAATAGAGAGGCGATGTGCATTCAAAGCAAAATATATCAGATCTCAGACATCAAAATCAACAAATAGACTTTTTACCAATATTCAAGTATCTTCATTTAGCTCCGTTTAAGATTAAGGACAAAATGAGATGGACTCACAATTATCTCTCATCGTGAATAAAATTTATTTCAGTGTCCATCGTTATTTCTGAAGTGAAATAAAGGTACCATTTGGATGAAATACTCGAAGATATGTATTTCTTATTTTTAACTGAACTGAATAATTAAGGAATCAATGAAAATGTTTTTACTTTTACGTTCTCATTGGAATAAATAAAGCATCAATATCAGCAATTTTCAACATTCTTACCAGATTTAAGAGCTAGCTCCTTTATTAATAGAAAGATATATAATAACAGGCACAATAGATAAAAATATGATTTGTTATACTTTTAAAAAGTGGTTCCTGTATAAATATATACTTTAAGAACGTCTAACATCTCCAATGTTTCACTGAGCAGTCCAAAAAAATGATTTTTGACTGCAGAGTGACCGCAGAGTTGGACCTGTCGATGAGATATTGGTTCGCTTACCACACAAAGTGGGCGGGGTCAGCTAAATCTTATTTGCCTTCGTTCTTGTTCGAAGGTGACGGAATTGAACGACGAGTTTAACCGCAGTGTGGTTAAGGAAATTTACATCATGGAAACCAGCAAAAGATACATGTATATCAAATAAATAAATAAATAAATAAAAGGTATAACAAACATTGACTATGTTCTCGGGCAAATGGGCTTTGTTGGACCTAAGAACCAATCCGTTTGCCTTAGGCTTAAAGGCCTCACGCAAACGATTTGGTTCTTAGGTCCGACAAAAGGCATGTTGCCCTCAAACCCAGTTAATCAATGTATAATGTTAAATCCTAAGGAGTAAGATAATGATATTTCTCCGATTTTTTGTATCTTGTTTTTTTTTTCAACATCTCCAAAAGACATATAGCCTTGTTGAGTGACTGCTTTTGACAATTTAAAAAAATCAGAGAACGAGAGTCCGAGAAAAATCGGCAAATAATGAATACATGGAACGTATTTCTCAAACTATCAGAGTAACAGGCTAGCATGAAATGAAATCAAAATCATTGTCATACTTATTTGATCTTAAAGAGGGGAAAAACACATAAGCAATTTGACATAGATTTGAATTTTGGCATAGCATTCTTGTTTACAATATTTCAGAGTCTCTAAATCGATAATCTTGAGCAAGAGCATTTTGATATTTTCCTCTGTATATATGTTTTCATAGGTCTTCTAGGTTTGGCATCCGCAACTGCTGTGGCCACAAATTCACCAGAAAGCAGCTTTATAACTTATACACTGAGCTGTCTACGGATTTTTCCGTTTTTTTCGATCATGACAAAGAGCACACGGCGGGTGTGACCGGTCGGCAGGGAATGCTCACTCCTACATGGCACCTGATCCCTTCTATAAATTTTGAGGTCCCTGTTTGTTCTCTGCTTCAAATTTGTATCGTTTCATTGGACTTTCGAGATTGAATACTGTTCGTTATCTTCATATTTCATCCAGTTGGTTAGTCTTGCTTCCTTACTGTCGCTTCTTCTGGATTTTTTTATTGCATGTATGAAATTTGCATTGAAAGATGCATGTATTCTAAATGGTGCAAAAAAAAAATAACAAAGATGTCATGTCATTTAGCAAATATGATTTAATTCTTTCTTGCTGTTGTGATAGTGTTATTTGTGCTGCATTTCGAGTGAACTTTTGTGATCAAATATATTCAATGACCATCTGCTGCATATAATTATTTTCAACCTTATTTTTCTCAAAAACAACATTCACAGAATGTGTTTTAAAATATTTATTTCTCTGCGAGAGTAGGGGCACCTCATGTGAGAGTTGTAACATAACACTCTTAGGTTTTTTTGTTTATTGGTGCAAACATTTTGAGAATTTGTAACATTCTAGATTTTTTTTCTTTTTCAGGCAGTAGTGTCTATTTTGTTTTTTGTTAGCTTTCCAAATAGTATTGAAAAGTGTACTTTTACACAGGCCAGGGCATTTTAACAGTATAACCTAATTGTTATTGATAACCATATTGAATGATTTTGACACTTTATTTATTTTTATAATTATGTAATGGTAGCTGTTTGCTTTGTTGAAAAATAAAAGGTTAACTATCGATATCATATCCCAAAATATTATTGAACACAGGTAAATACATTAGAGTATTGAAATGAAATTTGTTGAGAAAAAAAGATTATTAATCGGCGTCATTTCTCAAAATATTATTGAAACAAAGGGTAAAAAATTTGAGCATTGAATTGAAATTGTCAACCGATTCTGGCAAAAAGTTATACTGCCTTATAAGCGGGCCAATGGCAAATCCTTCAAAAATACAACCGACTTATAGGCGAATATATACGGTATATATCAAGTCAATTTAAGGCAAAATTAATAGAAGGTAATATGTTTTTAAATAATAATTTTATATTTAAATGTGCCATTTTTTTAAAATTTAAATCAAAAGAAAAGTGGTTGACATAACATTTCCGATACTGCTTATAGAATTGTCTTCTTTATGGACATCTAACAGGCAAACCGTTTGCATGATTATTATGAGAATTAATCCTGTTCCAAAATTGTGGAATACATGGCCCCTTGATCAGGCTTTCTTAATAAAGAGAGCGGGAGAGAGAGAGAGAAAAAAAGAGAATAAATCAAATCTTCAAAATATGTTTAATGAACGCAAGTTCTTCGTACGTAAATATCAGTCAGACGAAATCTCAATAAATAACGATTTGACAATTTTTTTTAATATGCAGAATTGCCATGTGCATTTCATCCAATAAAATTGGTCAATTGTTACTACAACTTGATTCAAGAATTATTAGATGAGCAAATAGTTTACCATACTTATTATATTCGCCAGTATTACGTTTTAACAGCGTCAAGACTGCTGGCTAAAACTGTTCATAATTGCGCATATTCACAGTTCAAAAACATCTAATATCCTTCAGGCAATTTAAAGTTTTCAAATCTACGACTCTTGTTGGAGAAACCGCATTTTCGTCAAAATTCAATTTATTCACAAATTATGAATATAAAAAAACATAACAAATATTGCACATATTTTAAGACACATTTTGATTGGAATCAAGGTATTGCAACTCGCCCCCTTTGAAATCTAGGATTGGTAAATGGTCCTTCCCGGATGTTTGGGAAAATCCTTGGAGTCACTGGTCGTCTTTGTGTTAGATCCAATGAACATTCAAATTTATAAGAACTTCCGCTGCACGGTTTCCCACACTTATTAGGTGAAGGGTTATTGCATGTTCTGCGAGAGGCACATCCACCAACCGATCTCCATGACGACCATCCGCCATTTCGGGGAATACAAGAGTCCCATTTGGTAAAATCGATGTCGTTTTTGAATGAAGAACATGAGAACTCTGGGGTGCTAAAAATAATTTATAATAGAACTTCACCTTTTGTAGAAAAAATGTTTCTTGAGAGCAAAATGCAAAGAAACAATTTAAAAAAAAATCGAATAAACAAGTTACCTAAGATTACTTGAAGTCGTTCTTGGATTTTTGTTAAATTTATGTGATTATTTAAAAACAATCATTTTTGAAAAATATGATTATTAAGAAGAGAATCGTGTTTTATATGCTTATTCGGTGCAATGTACCAACATACCTTACAGTCTTCTTCTCAAAGACATTCCTATGAATTTTATCAATGTCTGTATTTCTGCAGATGACATTCGCCATTAGTGTTTTCCGTATTTCGTTCAGCTGTTCTTGAGTAAATTTCACGTTGTCTTTGTTGTTTTCGTAGTAAAACCTATCTCCGTATTTGAGGGCCTTAAACTGCAGTCCAATAATGCAGGCAAATAACGGCCCAACACGTGCACCTGGAAGAGGGTTTTCTGAGACACCTCCTGTGAAGAGATCTATATCATCCACATTTCTGAAATAAAATAAAATTTTATCGTGATTTCCAAATTTTCGAAATTAAAAGATACAATGATTGTTCTGAAATGAATAATTCTGTTTCTTACACGTTTTATTAGTGTTTATTCATATTATTTTCTAAATCAGTAACCTACGACAGAAAACAAAATATTGGACAAGAAAAAAGAAAATAAAGGATCACGCAGAATTTACATATTAATCCTTCGAATCTAAAAATATGAACAAGCTATTAGTATAAATATTAGTATATAAGAATTAACCTACTTATAAATGGATTTCAAGGCAATGATGGCGTCTCCTGGATGATCCACAAGCCCACCAGTTCCACTTGTAAATGACGTGGCTGGTTCTAAACCACAGACCATCCTCCAGAAGTTGTACGGTGGTATACCATGGTCACGACCTCTCTGAATGTTTACTGCTGCTAGATCAATACCATTCCCTGGACTTGATTCGAACAAATGCCTGGTTACTTCATATGATTTCCTCCTGACGACAGAAAAACAAACAAACATTGAATTGACTTCCTCTTATTTTTTAAATATATATGTTTCCCATTTTCTTTCTGTCTGCATCAAAGCCCTACGACAGATTGAAGAAATCAAAAAAAAAAAATAAAATCTAAAAAAAACTTCAAATTCAAAATGCAGCTGCATGGGTTTACGTACATGTCGACACTCTGTGCATTTGTTTCGTACAATCCTTTTGTAACAGCCCCTACTCCACCATCTTTTCTATATATCCATTCTGGTTTTAAAATGATGTTTCTCAAATCAGTCATGATGTTGTTAGAGAAAGTTTTTGTTGGATGGTAAGACAATTTGTCGTTAATCATGCTATGCCCAAACCTGAAGGCTGCCGCGGAGAAGGAATTCCTGATCATCGGTTTAAATTTAGCATTATAGCCAGTGAAATATCCTGAGGATTTTGGCTTCAGGTCAAATTGGTTCATAATATTGTTTCCTAATATTTCTTGCAGGTATTGGTGGTAGGTGATATGCTGAATAAGAGCGCCAACAATTTTACGAGACTCCTGGAACAGTGTTTCGTCGTCCCAATGTGGATTTACTTGTTTGAGATTTTTAGCAATTCTGTTGTGCTCCCGGTGCCAAATGGTTTGGAGGGAAATTAAAGCTGCTTGCTGGTTAACTCGTCTATCACCTAATAAAAATTGTAATAGGCGTACAAAGTTGTTTTTTTTTTAATATCAAAAATATTTAGATTGAAACTATTATATAAACTAATTAGAACTTCTTCTTTAAAATTTCTAAGATTTCAGATTTTTGAAAAGGGGTTTAGGTTTCCTTGGATCATTTAGATTTCGCAACTTTAACTTAGATTTGAATGACATTGTTTTTATTTGCTTTTTTCCACCGATTGCTTATTTGTCTTTATGAAATAACTGAATTTTCCTTACTTTTTAAAATTAAAGACTTGAAGACTAAGGACTTAAACTTCTATAAGATAGAAAAACTATTGATGAACCACAATCAACAAGTATTTCGATAAATCGAACAAAAATGTAATTATCTCAAGAATCCTGAAATTTCTTTACCTGCTTTGAAACATTTAACTTTATTGTCGTTAGATGGCAATCGACAAGAGGCTGAATTGCTGGTATCTTGTGATAAAAGTTCTTTGCCATCAACAGTTGTTGATCTTAACAGACCTGGTGAAGATATTCAATTGTTACAACATTGACTGGAATAAACTATATATATAAACTTGTAGCATTGTACAACTGAATCGTGGAAACCTTGTTGAAGACTAGGTAAAATGGATCTTTTTTCTGAAATGTGTGCGTATACAGTCTTCTCTCTGAACAAGCATATCTTGTTGTATACAGTTTAAAATGGAAAATCAGGTAAGAAAAATTCCTCCCTAAATATTTTCTATTTCACAGAAATAATTCAATTTTTCACATTTAGCTGTCACAATTACTAAACCTACCATCTCTTTTAAGTCTTAATGAATTCATTGTGCTTTGGTCGGAGCCATAGATAGCAGAACCGTCAATATAGTGTGTGTTCTGGTTAATTTGTTGACGTGGGCCTGTAAAATAATTAATGATTAATTGAATTTAAAACATAGCAACAAAGAAATGCTACTGCAGGTTGTTCGAGTATAACTGACAATGATACGAATTTCTAGTGACAATGTAAAATTTCTAACATTGCAATATTGAAATTAGATTTGTTTCTCTCTCTCTCTCTCTCTCTCTCTCTCTCTCTCTCTCTCTCTCTCTCTCAGAATGCAATTAGTAAAAATCATGTAAGGATTTAGTTTCTGGCTTACCGACACTACAGTCTAATGCTGCTGAGGGTAAAGATCTGACAAAGTTCATACAAGTCCTCTTAAAAGCCCCGAAATAAGGATCGTCTTTTGGTAAGGAAATTGGCAAACAATTTGATCTAATCAAATTTCTTCTTCCACAGCAATTGAGATTTGTGTTCAAGTAACCTATAAATGCAAGCCCCTGTATTTATAAGCAAATCAAATTCAAAATGTCTTTTAAAGATTTTCCCCATTTATGTATTTATGTATAGTCACTTTTTCCAAGAGTTCCCATATTTTCCTTCTTTATTTTCCCATTGCATTAAAAACAGATCTGCAAAGACTTTCAATTGATGGGAAAGGTTCGTGATCAATTCGTATAGGTTATGCTTTAAGAAAGGCATCTCTTACATAGACAAAATAAAACTAGTGCTACAGCCTGCAATGCTGGTAATATTCTCTGTAAGATTTTTCATTCAAAAATTTTTATATATATACCTTTAGACAAAGCGTTAAATTGGATGTCGTGACTGACGAATTGTCCGAATTCCATGGTGAATTGTGAGAGATCCATGACGTGTGTGTTCGTACTCCTCTGATGGACAGCAATGCTTATTTCCCTGGGACCTGGTAAAGGACTTCCATTTACGTCCCGACTTCTTGGGTCTTGAACATCTGTCAACAGGCACATGTATATGTAAATATCTTTTTAAAATCCATAATTTCTAATTCCGAACAAACATGTTAGTATTGTTTTTGCTTTACAACACTGTACATGAAATATATGAAGATAACGAACAGTATTCAAGCTCAAAAGTCCATTAAATAATACAAAATAGGAGCAGAGCAAACACGGACCTCCAAAACATCAGAGGTGCATTGGATCAGGTGCCATGGAGGAGTGAGCATCCCCTGCCGACCGGTCACACCCGCCGTGTGCTCCTTATCATGATCGGGAAATAACGGAAAAATCCGTCGACAATTCAGTGTGTTGATAATGGCTTAACAATTAGTGTGAAAAACGTCAGTCAGCATTTGACTCAGTGATAAATTGTATTTGCTGACAAGGTCATTGTATCGACCATAGAACTTACAAAATGATGACTTTAAACAAGACTGTTGATATTCTTGTTTCATCAACTTGTTTGTCAATAATTTACCTCGTTTTAGAAATTGTACATACGTAGAGCATGCTCTTGCATATCGAATCAACTGAGAGATATAAACCCCGTTTGCAGGTGGTGAAGGTATATTGCTGCATAAGTAAGGGAAGCTGACGATTGAAAAGTTAAAGTCATCACGTTTATCATAAAGCTTGGTTGTTAGATTACCATTTGCGTCTTTTTCAAGTAAAATGTCCAAACATGAAACAGATGTGTCAAACTCTGTGGTATCTTTTATCTCAAGCTCACCAGGATATATCGTATTGATATAAGAATGGAAATAACCATTGTTAATTGACAATATGTCGTCGATATATCTAAATGTCGAGTCGAAGGCCACAGCAAGTGTTTTCTTCTTTTCACGTATAAGATTTTGAACAAATTCTGCTTCATATGAATAAAAAAGAAAGTCTGCTAATAACGAGGAGCAATGAGAATTCCAATAGATTGTTGCATATATATATATATATATATATATATATATATATATATATATATATATATATATATATATATATATATATATATATATATATATATATATATATATATATAATTTATTCAATTATGCAACACTTTATGATCTTCAAATAGTCAAAAATATACTTATGTTCAGAATTTGACTTACCATCTTCGTAAAATGGAAACACAAATCGTTCGAATGGCGTTTGAGATCGCCCCCAAAGTGGATTATTTAAGTTATTACACGTTCCATCAGCAGTTCTATATTTAGCATTGGATTTGCAGGAAGGTTTGCTATTATATGGACAAAAAGGTCTGAACTGTACCGATAAACTAGGTATTTCAGGTATGCGGGAGAGAACGGCTTTGTTTGATATAGATGTTGTTCCAAATTTAGGTCTAAAGAAAGAAAAGACAAAGCCATTTAATAAAACAAGCTAAATATGACTAAAAATGATTACAAATAGCTTTGTTACTTAAATTAAAAAACAACAGTTATGAAAACATGAAGAGAATAATATAATATTATGATATATGATATTTGTAAAAATTTAGTGTTATCCAGCTGTTTCATGAAAGCAATCCCTACTCGATTAATACCGGGTAATATCGAACTTGACAAAAAGGTTTTTACATGAACATCTCAATCTTGGTGCTCAAAATGTGATCATAAAAGAGTTAATATAGAGCACCTAAATGTTGTTTGAATCATCTTTGCTACTTCAGACAAAAATTCGACATGAACAGAAGAAATTATTACCATATTTTGTATTTTGCTCTCGGAAATATTTACCTCATTCTACTCTGGGTTTTCTCGATTGCTCTTGCAACACTACCAATAAAAGTGGCTGACTGTTGGGCGATGTTCTGAGCCTCCGAGGTGGTCAACAAATGAGGACCAAATCCGGCTGTATTCTGATTTGGAAGATCAATTTCTAAAAGATAAAAACAATGTTTATAATGATTTCTTGGTAAGCCTTTCGACGATGACGCACATAGTAATCTTATTACTGTTCAACTTTAAATCTCTAACTCAAACTGTAAATGGGACTGAAGACTACTACATGGAGTAATTTTGATATATCACTGGTAGTCGATATACCGGTGTTCGAGATATCAAAGTTCATCTGTAGCAAGTTGGAACGTTTGATGGACGACAGATCTAAAGCACATTGGTGTTCAAAAATGTACATCCATGCAATATTGCGATCTTATACCTGTTTTACATTGTTTTCAAATTTTAAGATAAAAATATAAGATAAAGTATCAAATTAAAACGTAATCAAAGTCCCTATATATCGCATTTTTTCTTGAACTGTGATGAAATTATGAAATTGTTTTTGCACTCATGAAATGTATAAATTCATCATGAATAATCCAAGAGAAATTTACAGATATTATGCTCCTTTACTTTAGTATTTTCTCTTTAGAATATTCCAAAAACATAATAACTCAATTAAAAGATATAAAAACAACTCTATCATACAAAGCAAGATATTTAGTTTAAATATTTTTTTTACTTTGTTCAAAAAGCTGTCTATCAATCTGGGCCTCCTTTTGAACCAGAGATTGAACTTCATTGATGGCGCTCTTCACCTCCGCGACAGAGGGTGCAATGGAGTCTCTCCTCGGTTCTAGTGGTCTCATCGAATTATCTATCCGTCCGAAGCTGGGAATACGTCTACTGCTTGGTGAAATTTTACTCTCCCTAAAAGGCACCTTCGATTGGACACTAGACGATGACTTGGGAGCATCAATGGTTTCGGAGAGGAGGGAATTCATTTGAGAATTTGGCAGTGAGGTCCATGCTGTTTCGGTACATAATAGCATGCACAAGAATATTCTACAAAAATATATTAAATGAATGGTTACTAGGATGTGAACAAAAAATAATTGAACTATTTTGAAAATTTTGCCCTGGACTATTTGCAAGTTTTCATTGGTTATTACATTGAAGCTCATGAAAGTCTACTACTTTTAAATGGTTTAGAAATACGTTTTTTTGTGTTTCAATTTAATTACCAAAAAGTCTGAATGTTAGCGACAATTATGAGATATGTTAAAAATATGAATGTATATATTTTGAAGAATAGAACAGAGGACCCATCTTTACTCCTCGCAAAAATATTAACTAATAATTTAATTTTGATTGTAACGCGTCATTTGATGGAAAAAAATATTAGAATATAGCGTATAACCTGGGTTGCCTACGTCACAATGACTTACGTCAAAAACGTATCAATCCGCTTGACGTTACATTTAAAATACGTACAATTTGAAGGCATTTTTGAAGGAGAAATTGTCTTATTTTTTACACTTAATAATGGAAAATTAATTTATAAGGAATGGATTTAATAGCTACCCAAGTTATACTGGTATAACCTGGGTAGCTATTAAATTCATTCCTTAAATGTGAAGGAGAAACTTCAGACGTACTGTGCTACATTAACCTATTCATTTCGGTGTAAATCAAATCATAAACATGAATTCTCAAAAGTTCTTAAAGAACATTCAGAAAATAAAAAGTCTTTTTTGGGATTTTCTTAATTTAATAATGTACAAACAATTTTATTAAGTAAAAAATAAAACATTTTTTGTGAGAATCTTTAAAAACCTGTTTTAAATGATAAATATTTTTAGAAGAAAAAAAGTATCTTTTTTTTTTCTTTTTCAATAAAAACAACTTACCTTTTGAGACTTTGCATATTTAACAATATATGAAAACAAACTCCCGATCGACATTTTATGACTGTTAATATTAGCAGACGTCATTTGTCGGGGAAACCCATTTCAGGTAAACACGTTCAAAAAATTGCAAACAATTGCAAATGACGTGTGGTTGACCTTATATTTGATTGGGACTAATGAACATGACAAAATGATTGTCACGTGCATTGCTGATATTTTTTTTTCAGTAGAAATTTATGTTGTCTGTTTACCGATTCAGTGAAGGTTTACCTACTTCCGCGTATTCCATCATTTGTGTTTTAGGGCATCTATTCTTTTTTTTTTTAAAAAATTTATAAGCTTTCCATTTTATCATTTATAAAATAATGTATTCTCAAGAAAAAAATATGTTTGAATATTTAAATTTCAAATGTATTCTGCTTGTATGGTTTTCCACAATTCTTGTTGCTCAAGACCACTCCAAGGAGTGTTTATATCTGTCGCAAGTTTTTAGGGAAATTCAGAGTGATTTCCCAAAATCAACGGGGGTTATCCATATTTGAGAAAATATTATTCAAAGACTATGCTTTATCACGAAAAAATATCAACTTAAACATTTTAAATCATTTCAAGAAAAAAATAGTAACTAATTAAAGATTCCATTCCTTTGAAACAAAGAATGCGACTTTGATTTTTAACGCTTCAATCATCTTTGCTCTTCCTATATTTTATTGAATCGTTATTTCACGTTGAATGATTAAGTAATAGTGTTGCATTGGTTGCATTATTATGCAAACAACCAAAAAAAAAATATTTTGCATGATCCATACGCATTCGGCATGATGTAAGATACCGATTAGCTTAAATGAGATTTATTTTATACAGTCACTTTAAAAAACGTTATTGCATGGAAAAAACATCATTCCCTTAAAAAGTCTGTGATTTTTTAGAGAGATATTACAGTGCATGTGTGTGCTTAAGCCAATAAAATCGACAGCAGTCATAGCAAAGTATATTTTGATGCATTTTACTTTCATTGAACTGAGAAAGAATTATCATAGAATGCACATACTTTGGACGTGAAATAAACCACAAAATGAATAAATTATCCTTATTAAATTTCTAACAGTGAACAATGAAAGTTTTTATTCATATCAACAGAATTGAGATGTTTTTGTTTTGATTGTTTGCTTTCTTTTTGCCGGGGGGGGGGGGGGGGGGGGGGCTAAGGAGTTGTAGTTTACTGAAATATGAGACACATTCGTCTTAAATATTGACATAGCCTTTGTTATTATAATTCATGCCTCAAAGCTGACAAAGTCACACATACAGGCAGACGATAAATGGATAAAATAAAATGAGATGAAACTGTTAATTTAAGGTTTTTAAATTGAATGAAGTTATGTTTTCCTTTAAGTGTCATGTTGTAAATTTTGAAGGTACTGCCCCAGGTAAATTTGTTTACAACATGAAACAAGCATGAAAAACTCTCTCTGTCCAGACACTTTCAGAAGGCGAACTTATATTTTTAAACATCGCTTACTTTTGAAGACAAACTAAAATTTGGTTAATTTGCAAAATGGGAAAAAAACCCACTCATGTTTTAAAAACCATCAGACCCAAACGAGGTTCTCAAAACTAGATGTTGACGTTTAATTGACATATCGTCTTAAACAAAAAGAAAAAAACGAATCTAGGTTTTTAAATTATTTTGGTTATCTTCGAAAACAAAACGAACATTAATTTTGAATTTTAAAGGGGGAAAAACATCTATATTTCAAATTAAAGAATTTTTTTTTACAGTTTTAGTGTCACAAAATGCAGATCCAAGGGTGGGAGGGGAGGACGGATGGGAAGGGGAAATTGTCCCCCTCGATAAAACTTTAAAAAAAAAAACATTGTTTTCAACTTTAAAAATCCCATTTTTTAAAAATTATACATGTAATTAAACCCAAAAACTTTAATCATTTAAAATTTTTCTCATTTTTTAAAGATTTATATTCTATGATTGATATTTCAAATCACATTAATTAATAATTTACTTTATGACTGAATATGTAAATGTACGTATCAATATTAAAATAAAAAATCTTCATAAATGATAATCACTTCACGATGAGCTCTTTGATAAAGTAATTGTTGGTAAGGAGAAATAAATTGGAATATTCATGGTACTGTACAAGGGCGGATCTAGAGGGGGTCGGACCCCCTGGAATTTTAAGAATTATAAATTAAATTTCTTTGTAGACGTAAGGAAGAACTTACCTTGGATCCCAATAGGAAACATGGACTCCTCTTAAAAATAAAAATAGTAAGGAGAATAAGCCCCCCCCCCCCCGAAATAAGGTTTGGTCAAGTTGTTTACGCATATCATTTTTTATTTTTTGCTTGTCAAAAACATTTCCGATTCCGACATTTGTTAGAGTTGATGTGGTAACAGACACCCCCCCCCCCCGAAAATAATTCCTGGATCCGCCCCTGATGTACAAGTTCTATATTTGCAAAAGCTGAATGTAAAGCGTGTGATATTTTATGTTGACTACATATCATTGCATGTACATATTTTTTTTTAAATACATCATAATTGAAAGGATGTATTTATATCACCTGGTGGGGTTCAATAGCATAAATTATGACCAAAGAAAAATAAACTGAAAACAAATAAGCAAAACCAGCAGTCCGTGCTCAGTGATGTGTGCAGAGTAAACAAATTGAACACACCCGCTAAAACGTAAACATTTAGAATAACAGAGCTCGTGCCCGTGTTTACAAAACACAAGTGTTTGACATGATGTAACAAGAAAACATTGATGTAACCATCAATTGTCGCCCGGGAAATAAATAAAGTAAACAATGGAAATGAGTCTTGATCATCAAACCGCTTCGATATGTGTGAAAAAGGCATGCGTCTAAATGAAGGAGACGATAGTCGAGAATATTTTGAAAACCTATAGTCGGATGAAAATCGAACAAAAACGATACCCTTTTAAACTTTATCAATTCCTCAAGTAAATGTTGGCTGCATAAAATATAAATTGAAACCAGACACATGCATCACCTATTTTCAAAAATGTCTATCACTTTAAGAAAATAAAACACGAACTGTGTAAAGTACGTTTTTATGCGATAAGTAAAATTCGGTGTTCTAAAAAAAGGGACCTGTCGTTTTTTCGATAGTAAATGATAAGCAACTTTATATATTAAATATGAAAAACATATATATTTTTACAGATTCACTTTATTGAAGTAAATATATTGTGTATCTCGTAATTTATAAAGGGAAAGAACATTCTGATTAACAATCTTTTTAATGTTTAGAAAACCTTTAATTCTGAATAACTTCTCCCACCTCAATCCCCATATACCAACACTTAAACTTATATGTATAGAGCAGCCCGGTCCTCCGGGCTGCAATAAAGAACATTTTTGTCATTGAATTTTGATAATTTTCATGGAACTTCAATTCATTAAACTGAGGTTATTTTCTGAATAAATGTGCCCGTGTTTACAAACACAAGTATTTGACATAATGTTATGAAGAATATTTTTGTCATTGAATTTTAATAATTTTCATGTAAGTTCAATTCATCAAACTGAGTTCCCATTCTTTGTGTCTGTAGATTTTAGTGCTAATCGGAAAGAAGAGATATTTTTAAAGAACCTCTGTATTTTCTATTTTACAAGTAATTTTAAAAAATGTTATTGCACAAAAGCATTTTTATTTAGTAGACATGGTAAGGTAAATTCTGACACATTTTTCAGGAATTGATCTGAAAATTTATAAAGCATGTACTGTTTGTGAATTTCAATCATGCCTTGATTCACTGTATTGATTGAAAAATTAACAATGTATAATGTAATATTCTTCTTGTACACACTTCTCTCTGTACCAAATTTTGTTTCCTGTTGGTGTGACATCAATCCCTTGCCTTCCTATTGCCAATCTTCCAGCTATGGGTGAATTAAAAAAAGAACAACAAATAATTTTTTTTTGAAAAAATTCAACTACCCATATTTTTCACTTATACCATCATATTGTAAATACATTCTAGTTAAAATCCCCGAAGTTGCAATGGAATAGACAATTAATTGGATAAAAAAGTTTCAGAATTTTTATTAGTAAAACTTTATTTGAAAAAAGAAAATATCACTTTATCCTAAAAGACTCTCTAATAATAAAATGAAATTATAGTGTTTTATACTTTCAAATGGTATCAGGGATATAAATGATTAGATCTAAACCTTGATCGAGTTTCTTCTCTTGTACATGTTGAAAGAAATTGGCTTTTTGATTGTTATTTTACATTAGTTTTTCAATTCTGGTTGAAAAAGTTTTAATATGAAGGAGATATGAAACAATAAAATCCCCCCCCCCCAATCATTTTTATGTCCATTTAAGTCAGTTTTTTAAATTTAAGACAAAAGAGAATTTTGACATACAAGTTTTCTTACAAAAAATACTAGATTTTGAAGTGACCCTTTGTTACATTATTGTGTTGCACTCCTGACATCCGATATCCGATTTTATTTAACGTTGTTTTAAAAATTATAACACACATTAACCCATTCTTAGTTTGTAAGTCAGTTCGTCGTTTTGATATTTTTATCATTTACGGCAAGTTTTTCTTATTTTCAAGACTTTTTTTTTAGTAGAGATAGATGAAGATCATTGATAATTATAAAATAGTTTTGTTGCACTCCTGACTGCAGTAAAATTTAAAATTAAAACAACAGAACACACAAATTCATAAAGTGTTGGCAACATCAAGTGTAATGAAATTGTGCAATATTTATAATCCAATAATTCATAATTAAAACACATGAAAGTATCTGAACTTGACTTTATATCTTGAATTATTCCCTATTTATGTTAAAAACTAGCTAAAATATATATTTAGAAGATAAAATATATTTTATAGTATATTTTCCTTCACAGGACAAATACTGTAAGCAACTGAGGTCAACCAGAAACATTCTATCATCATTTTTTTTCTTTATATTTATCCATATTTGATCACCAATCATTCTAACATATTTGTTACACTCCTGACCAAGAGTATGAGAGTCTTTAAAGTAAAACTGTGAAGCTAAAATTACATCAGAACTTGTTCTGTTGTTTCAGTGAAGTTATTTATCACATTCTTAAAAAAATCAAAGAACAGATAAAAACACATCTGAATTAATAAAATTGAAAAAGAGAAGAATTTTACTAATAAAACTGTCAATAATTTAGAATTAAATTATTCAAATAGATCATTATTAATTAAAGAATATTTCTTAGCATGAGTAAAAGTAACTTGAATCTTTAAAAAAAAAATGTGTTGCACTCCTGACCATAAAAGTATAGATCTGAAACACAGGCATACCCTGTAATTGATAAATCTATTTGGTAAAAATGTTCTTGTGTCTTTATTTTCCAAAATAAAAAGAAATCATATACTGATAAGGTTTTTTCATACTGGGGAACAAAACATCAAATGTTGCACTCCTGCCATTATTGGATATGCACAGATACTTGACTCTCATTAATGCTGCTTGTGATTTATATAACATTTTGAAATTTAAATTGTATATCAGTTATTGTTTTACAATTTGAATATTCTTTTTTGACTTGTTTTTCAGATTTTTAAATTTTTTAAAATTTTTTGTCTGCTGCACTCCTGACATGGTATAACATTTTTTTCAACATCAGCCATGACCACAACTTGGTCAAACAAAAGTTGCTACAGTCTACATTTAAAGTTCAATACTTTGAATATTATCAGGAAAGTCTCTATTTCAACCATAAATCATTATCATTTATTTCACAGATCTTTGAAAAAAAATAATGAATTTTCAAAATGTCACCATAAACCATTATCATTTATTTCACAGATCTTTAAAAAAAAAATAATAAATATTCAAAATGTCACAAAAAGGTGTTGCACTCCTGACATTTTAGCATCATTTTTGGGCATAACTTTTTTATGAATTGAGATATCAATGAGATATTTGGCAGGTATTTAGACACTAGTTAAAGACATATTCTGAGACATAGAAATTTATTCCCATTGTCTGTACTTTTAGTGCAGGTTAAAAACTACGTGTTTGGTCTTTTTTTTTTAAATTCACCCACATATCACTGTGTCTCAAGCGAGACACATGACTGCCAGTTCCCTTTTGGACTCCCTGGTTTCCCGTATTATCTGACTGTCAATACACCTGTGTGCTCGATACATCCTGATACTCAGGGAATTCGGACTCCCTTCTGTACAATGATGCAATATACTGATTTTCAAGCATGGAACAAGACATTTCCCTAGCTAAAATTTCAAGGTATATTTTTCCTTCTACATTCAGGATTGATATTGTCCCACATTGTTAGGAATAAGAACTGCCTGTTTTGTTGTCACTGACCAGATAACTATGTCAGGTCTCTTGTTTGTAACTGCTATCTTAGGATGAAATTCTGATCTATTCTTCAGATTCACCCGCATCTGCCAATCTGTTACCTTCCCGAGCAGACCACATCCTTCAACACTAACGTTTAGCCCTTTTTCACCTTCTTTCACAAAGTGGACGATTTCAGGCCCTCTCCGTTTTTCTTTGGCGTTTTGATACTTTTCTCCAATTAAGGTATCAGAGCTCTGTACTGGCTAGAACTGAAGAATGTCTCCAAATGTATCTCCCGTCTTTCAAAGCCTGTGAGCATGCTGATAATAAGTGCTCCAGTTTGCTGGTTTACTACAGAGGACACACTTTGGATCATCCGCAATTCCCCATGTTACAAGATTGGTTGGGCTGTAAAGAAAATCATTAACTAATTTCAGCTTAAACTGAGACTGAATGGTTGCACCTTCCAAATATTCATTCCATCTCAACTTTACTTGACGTGTATCTTCCCAGTTCAACCAGCTACCCTGATTCTTAGCTTCATTCCAACTTTCTTCACCATTCTAGAATCTTCCTCCATTGTACACACTTCTCTCTGCACCAAATTTCGTTTCTCCTCTACAGAAGCTGTCCCCCAACTTGCTGTTGGTGTGACATTAAGCCCTTGCTTTCCTATTGCCAATCTTCGAACTATATCACTGTGTCTCAAGCGAAACTCTTAACTGCCAGTTCCCCTTTAGACTCTTTGGTTTCCCGTATTATCTGCGTCAAAAAAATGGGTGCTAGATACATCCTGATACTCAAGGTATCGATCCCTCCCTTCTGCACAGTGATGTCAATTTACTGATTTTCAAGCATGGAACTAGACATCCTCCTATGTAGCTAAGATTGCAAAGTATATTTTTCCTTCTCATTCAAGAGTGATATTGTCCTAAATTGTTCCGTATTTCAAATTTCTTTTCTTTGAGAAAAAAACAGCCTTCTTCTCTGTACCAGTTATCCGCCAATCGTCCTCCATGGACGGATCTTGGGGGGGGGGGGGGTATGAACCCATATGTGGGATTTTCAGAGTTATTAAATTTCAATGTAAAAATAGCGAAAAAATGACCTCGATCCTCCCGGGTAACACCGACCCCTCTTTAAACAGCAAGGAGAGTCATCTATCTGATGAAAATTGATTTAGGAAAGTGTCTCCTCCTCCTCCTCCTCCCCCCCCCCCACACACACACACTAAAAGTAAGATTTTCATATTTGGGCAAGTGCAAATTGTTGTTTTCTTTTGTTTTCTTTTTTTTTTCCTTGTCAAAAAAATTCCGAAACAACTCTTATCAGTTTCCAGAGACGTGTTGTTAACCTTTGACAACCATATTCCAGTCAAGGATTCAAGAGTTTTATCGGGACCAAATTTTGTGACACACACAAACAGAGAGTCATGCCAAGATCAATATTTTTCCCCGTTGGCAGAGACATGATATCACGAATTTTAAACGGCTATTATTCTTCACATTGACGATCAATCGTTATATATATTTTTATCACGTTCACAAATGTTACTTCTCCTATAAATTGTTCACAGATGGAGGTCATAACAAGTTCTATAGACAAAAAAAAAACAAAAAAAAAAAACGAATTCGTATGTGCAAATACTTATATAGGCATCTGTTAATTTAAATAAACTAACAGTCCAAATTGTTTAATTAAGTAATATATATCAGTTTTAAAAGTGAAGCGCATGACACTTTTCACTCTGATGCATTTCATGGAGGACATCAGAGCTTCATGAAAAATATACCTTGATGAAAAGTATTAAAGTATTAGGTCATGCGCGAATGGGGTAGGGGTGTCCGGAACACCACCTACTTCTCGCCGCCCCCTGGGATTGTCAGAGTTAAAATTTCTACGTAAAAGAAACGAAAAAAATGATCTGGATCCCCCAAGGAAACACAGACCCCTCTTAAAATGATAAGCCGAGTCATGTGTGAGAACAAAATGACTTGGGAAAGTGTTTTCTTCTACACCCATCTACCTCCACCCCACACCCCAGCGAAATAGGTTCTTCAGGTTTGAAGGAAATTGATAACATTTTTTTTTTTTTGGCTTGTCAAAAAAATCATTTCGAATCGAAGTCTGACCTGGATCCGCGCCTGTAGGTAATTTTCTTAGTCATTAACTTGTAAAACTGGATTACCGCACATTAATTTATATTTAAATAATTCAATCTTTGCATTTTCTCGTCTATTGTATGATTTCCTCATTTTAGCTTAAAGTGTAGCACTCAGGCGCGAATCCAGGATTTTGCGCTAAAGGGCTTGCTATCACATACCGAGGGTCTGGGTACCGCCATGTTCTATTTCCAACAGGTCAAAGAAAGCATCCAGGTATAAAAATTATACCTGAGGAGGTGCGCTCCGAGAGAGCCTGTCTAGAGCGCGTTTTAAAAAAAACGCGACTAAGACCGAAGTCAAATATTGCAAAATTAATGATTCTGCTAAAACTCATTGGCTAAAACTCCTAAAACTCTATTTAAAATTGATAAATACCATTTTCAAATGAATGTCAAGACGGAAGGTATCACAAAAAATATTCTGGTCTTTTGAAAAACGGGGTCCTGAATCCGCGCCTGCAATATACTCAGCATCAGCTGTAGTTCGGAAACCACGGGCAAACTGTACGTCTGACCGTATAGGAGATAGCTACGAGCGGACTCTGGACCGTGCTTGAGACGATGCTGTAGCTAAAAAGATGTTAACTTGCAATTTCTTTTAGGGGAATCTTGAAGGAAAAAAAAAACATCCTATTGATAAATACAGAATAAAATCTTCATTTATTAAAAGGTTTGTTTAATGAGTGAACATTCATTTTGCTTCCCATCGTACCAACAAAAACAATAAGTTGGCGAAGAAACCTTCGAGGGCCACAGTTAATAATCGCACGTGCTAAGTTGCCGAGATCTGAAAAAGAGGGACACCATCGGGGGGCCACTGCAGTTCACACGAGGAATGTCGCAGAGATAGGCAACCTTTGAGGCTGGCTGATGGTCAGCCTATACTTTGGCTTTATTTTGTCTTTTTTTCAAATGAGGAAAAAAAAACATGTATTTTGTACATGTTTTATTAATAGATTTCATTGATTTAGCAGAACATAACAATTGTACATCCTGTACAAGGGGAAAATTACTCATTGTGTTTAATTTGTTTTGCTATATTTGCAATCTTGATAAAATTCAAGAACCTTTGAAAGATTTATAAGTTAAAACGTCATTTATATAATATACATGAAAGACAAAATTTATAATTGCTAAACTCAAACACTCACAATGGTAGGTGTACTAAAATTTTCAATGACATATATATTTACATGTAAAAATAACCATTTTCATTTGACACATTTTTCATGAATGAGTGTTCCTTGACAGCAAATTTATCCAACAATCCAATATAGTTGGCCTAATTATGATCAGTGATTAATTACGATCATACCAGTGGCAAATTGTAACTAATGAACTGCTGGAAATATGATATATATATTATTCAGATTGGTAAAACATTAAAAAATGTAATTACATGTAATAGCACACATTCTGTTTGATTAAACAAATGGAATGATTTTTCATTTTCAAATAACAACTCAAATACTTGCTACATGATAAAATAAATAGCTTATACTAATATTTATCCTGCAACTACCCCTTGTATTGACCTAATAAAGGTAACCTAATAAACCAATTAAAGCTTTATTCGGTCAATGCCCTAATAAAGCCTCGTGCACGTATTCCAACGTTCTAAAAGCACTGTGACGTCATGAATATTGCAATGTTTACGCCATGGCATCTTAGTTTCAACTGCAGAGATGTACCTAAATCAGTTGAAAACAGCTCGTTTTGGAGGTCCTGTAAAAATGTGTTGCAGGATAAACAAAATACATGGAGACTGTCTTGAAATATAAGCGATATTTGGGCTCGGGTCGAAAACGTGATAGAGGGCTCGGCAAGCCTCGCCCTCTATCACATTTTCTTACCCTCGCCCAAATATCGCTTATATTTCAAGACAGTAACCATGTATTTTATATATAACAGTAAAATTATAGGTATGCACTGACTAATATACATATAAGCTTTCCTCTAAGGAACTCCTGAGGAGATTTCTCCACTGAGAAACTGGAATAACCTTCTTTTTCACAAAAAGAAGCCAAGATTTAGTGTTGTAGGGACATTCCTGGATTAGACAGAGTTTTAGGCGTGAACACTCTTAAAATCCCATCCCAAGAGCAGTCAGCCATTTCTCCAGGTTTAAATAGATTAAAATCCAGTCCATACACAAACTCTGTGTGGTGCTCCAATGTTTCTACTGCCATATTTATTGTAAAGTCCCATAACCTTTGTAATAAAAATCAATACTGTCATTACCAAACACATTCAAACATAATATTTTAAAAAATCATATTTTTACAGGAGTTTTATGCATTTTCATAGGAAATATATTTGAATGAAATCACATAAAACTGAATTTAAAATAAGAAAATACACATATATTGAGTGCTAGCCAATTACATCATCAATTTTTTCTTACCTGAGATGTTAATTACCTGTACTTACCTTGTAGTGAAATCATACGACACAGAAGCTAGAATGTTCCGTTGAAAGGCTGAAGCCTGTGATGGAAAACATAAATGAATATACCCCATGTAAGTTTATAGCCAGTTCTGAAGCTAGTGTAATACAATGTACATATGAAAGAATTAATTCAGAGATCGAGGTTTTTAATAATTAAAGTGACATTAACAAAAGCACAAAACAGTACACTTTATCAACTTGAGTTCTAACACTCTCTCTCCTTTCAATCTACAAGTAAACTGCACTGACTTTTTAAATGTTTATTTTTAAAGCTGGCAAGTTTATTTCTGTATACATATAGTCTACATATGATTGCTACAACATCAACAAAATGTGGCCTGGTGATTATTAAAAATGTTTCTGTAAAATTAAGAATCTTTATAAATATATTCAAATGTGTGACCTTGATTCTCCTGACAGCCAGAGAGTGACCCCTCATGTCACAGATGGGGGACTGGGGGTTCCTAACGTCCCATCCTCTGATAGCACCATCCACTCCCCCACTAAACAGCAGGTTCTACAACAGAGATCTAGGATAAGCAGTCTACAACAGAGATCTAGGATAAGTAACTACACAAAACGATGTCTTAAACAGGGCAGAATCCATGTACATTTACCTACTTTTAAAAGGGTTTCCACCTGAATAACATGGGATTGAAAATAAATGTAAAAAGGACAATATAAAAATTCACCTGGTCATATTTTGACCAATCACAGGTGAGGATTTCTGAGTTGTGTGCAGGTATTACAGTCTGTGACATTTCTGGTCTCCTTATATCCCATATTCTCACTGTGTGGTCCCCTGTGTAAAATAAAATTATTACTTTGTAAAAACTTATCATGATCCTTCTTTTTGTACAAGTTAAAAAATAAAATAAAATACTAAAAAAAAAAAAATTTACAATATACAATGTGAATTACAGTAAACCTTAATTATAGTGAATTCCTGGGTACCTGTGAATTTACTGGAAATCTGTAATTTGTTGTATTTGTATACAATTTCATTTACCCCAGGTAAGTATATACAGCAAATTTACAATATACATGTCTTCCTTCAAGTACATGTATGATTACTGAATACTTAATGCCTTGGAAAACTTAAGTTTTCTGATGAATTAAATATTAGATGTATATGCTTACAAAAAATATATCGGTTCAACGATGAGATCTTTTAAACCTCATCATCATAAAAGATGAATTTCCTTATGTTTTACCTCTACAGGACACAAAATCAAATTACTATATCCGTAAAATATGTATAAAAGTTTGTTATAATCTTTAAATTTAATTTACAAGGAATTGTTAAGAACTTTAATTGGCAAGTATTAAAAAACTGCTTTATTTGTAAATTTGGTATATCCATGTTCGTACTAAACAAGTTTTACTGTAATTGACTTGAAAATGTAAACAATAAAAAGTTCATAAGTATATTTTAACTTTGCAACCTTCAAGAAAGTCAAACAATAATTACAAGAAATAGAAGAAAATCTGAATGTTTGGCCAAAATTTAATTATAATTTCACAAGTTCCTCCTCAGAACAAGCAGTGTGTAGTGAAGTATTGAGGTGCAGACCTGAAGCTGATGCGAAGCAACCTGGGATACTGGGAGACCAACGGACGCTGTATACAATGGCTTCATGCCCATTTAACGTGGTGAGAGAGTTCCCCCGTGAAATTTCCCACTGTAAAAATCAGATATATTGATTAGCTTTAAAATATACAAGATAGTTTAATTAACAAATGATGAAAAATGGTACAAGACAGAGATAAAGAACTTGGATCAATGTCTTAGAAATTCTTGAAATCATGAAAACCTATAACTGCTCTGTTAACTATTTCAGTTTCACTCTTTTTTTCTTTAGAATGCTGTTAAATAGAGATTTATCAGAACCAAATTATATAAATTTACCATGCCAATGCTTTCAATAAAGGGACACAGGAGGCAATTTATCACCATTTCAATGAATGATTGTAATTCACTGCTTCAAATTTCTTAATTAGCAAGGTAAACTATAGCGAATAATTCTAAAACAGCCTCCTAAAATTTATAAATTTACCTTTCCACTTCAAAATTATCGAAAGCCCTGCATGCTGACTTCTACTTACTAATTTAATACTTTTGTCCCATGATCCACTGAGGAAATAATGTTCTTGTCTGGTCTGGCTCCAGTGAACTGAATTCACCTGTGGAAACAGAAATAAAAAAAAAGTTATTTTATTTTGTTTTTAATTTAACTTCAAATACATTCATACATTAGTCAATAAATAATATGAACTTGCTTGGCCATTACAATCAATCATTACCCAAGAGAAAATTTGTTGATTGAATCAAGAAATAGTTTACCTCCTTTACATGTTCTTTGAATGCTTTTATGGGACCCTGAAAAAAGGCAAATAAATTAATGTGAATTTACATTACATTTTAATTATGTGTACGAGGGGTGATCAAAAAGTTCGCGAACTTATTGGATAACTTCCATAATATTATTCAAAGTGGGATTTTCAGTTTACTCTTTTTCAAAGTAGGCCCCTCTTGCTTTTATGCACTTTTGCCATCGGTCTGCCCATGTCCAAAACACGTCATCCAAGCCATCAATTGACATGCTTCTTAACGCCTTGTTCACAGCAGTACCAAGATCTTCTCGGGACTCATATTTCTCTCCCCGTAAGTTATCTTTCAGAACTGGAAATAGCCAGAAGTCACAAATTGCCAAATCTGGGCTGCACGGGGGTGAGTTAGGTTTTCTATACCCAGTGTTTCCATGGTGTCCATCACAACCCGACTTTTATGGCTAGGCGCGTTATCCTGGTGTAAAATGAATCCAGCTCATATCAGATCAGGGCGCTTTCTTTTTACTGCTCTCATCAAATCTGATTTGATAACCCGCGCATAGTAGTCTCCAGTAACTGAAGTTTTAGGTGGTACCATGTGATTTAGAATAATTCTGTTGATGTCACAGAAAACAATGAGCATAACCTTCCCTGCAGACTTCGTTACACGTGCTTTCAATGGTGAAGGAGAGGAAGAATGCTTCCAAATTGAACTTTGTTGTTTACTTTCTAGTTCATAGAAATGTACCCATGTTTCATCACATGTTATAATTCTATTCATGAAAAAATTCCCTTCTTTTTCATATCTACTGACGTAAGACTTGCAAACATTTACCCGCATCTTCATTTGTTCTGGCAGAAGGAGGCGAGGAACCCACCTTGCACAAACTCGCCGCATTTTAAGCTTACTCGTTAAAATCTCCTGAACAGTTCCATAAGACATGCTAAGATCATCAGCTATTTCTCTAATAGTAACTGTTCTATCTTTCATCACAAACTGTTCAACCTGAGATACATTTGTCTCTGTACTAACGTTCAGTGGGCAACCCAGATCGATCATCATCTTTCAAAGTCTCCCTTCCCTCAATAAAACGTTTAATCCACTTACTTATTGAACTTTTTGCAAGCCTGCTATCCCCATATACTTTATGTAAATCATTGTATATTTCCGTGAAGGATTTTCCGAGTTATACGTAAAACTTTATTATTGTTCTCTGCTCAAGTATGACTGACTCATCCATTTTAGTCACAGTCGCCTCTATATTGACGTCATTTTTACATCATGATGTCATAAATATGACGCAAATTACAACATAACTCATGCTACATCAAGCACATGTATAGGACTATATATGTGCCAAAATTCATTCTGCTCTGAACTATGGATAGGTAGATATAGAGTTAGTTCGCGAACTTTTTGATCACTTCTCGTACATACCATATTAACAATTATTACCTAAAATATTTTTTTTAAAAACTTCTATGATTATGATCACACCGATGATTGAAGTCAATAAAATAAACTTTTACATTCGCACACGATATTTTGATGATCTGTTTCTTTTATAATATGATTTGATACACAACATAAGAATTTAAAGCTTCTTATTGACTCTTTCAATCATATTTGTCTGTTGATATAATCATTATAATAGTTAATGAATTCAGGGACGAATATATTATATATAATATATTTTCACGAAGAAACACTCTGACTTCTTTTTCAGCAGTTATCAAATACATGTATCATTATTGGTAATGACAAGTTAAAAAAAATTAATTCAGAGGGTAATGATCCCCTCCTCATGATAATATACTTCAAAGATCAAGTACCCTTCTCTGCTGTATGTCCCACACAACAACACTGCCATCTCCTGCTCCAGTAACTAAAACATTTTCATTGTTTTCTGCCCATGTAACATCAAATAGACCATCATTCCATTCAAATACGGTTTGTGGTACCAATCCACCGGGTCCAGCCTCAAGAATGTATAGTGTTCCTGATCCTGCAAGAAAATAATGTCATATAATATTCTTATCCTTGCTATCAGGCATTGTTACGGTTTATTGAACCCCCCCCCCCAAAAAAAAAATCACACTACCTGCTATTCCATAATATTGTGATGTAGCACACGCTAGTTTTGTTGCAAAGAACGGTGAAAACTCGACAGAATAACCATGTCTACCTTTCGTCTGTAAAGAGAGGTTCATGTTACATTTTTCTAGTTTCGCTTTTGTGACCTTTGATCTTTATCGAACATTGAATTTTGCGACACTAGAAAAATAAAACGAATGTAATAAACGATTGCGTATCAACATACAAATGATATGTCTCTGTATGGTAAGAAAAATCAACAATTTGCACTCATATTGCTTTCTCGATCATCTCGTCTGAATTAAGAAATTTACGACAACGGGAAATTGAATGTGTCATGTACCCGCCATTTTAAAAGACTAGATGCTAAACGTTTCGACGTTTGAACGAAGGGCTGTTTCAGGATGGCAACGGAAGTTTTGAACTTTTTACCATCAGAGGTTGCAAGATTAGTGTTAGGTAATATTTCATCAATTAATATGTTATCATTTTAATGTATAGGGCTTTCTGCACTTGTTATTAGCATCAGCTGATGGTTTCAAAATATGTGTATTCGTCTATTTATACTTGAGTAATATATTTTGGTGTCATCGTGTGGGATGTTTCGTCTTTGAAACCAGAGCGATGTGTCAGACACCCTGTAATCAGCTGTGTTCCATATCAGTAATAATAATACCTATATTTAAAGAAAGTAACCCGATTAGTGCAAAGCACTGGTCTTCCTCAGGGCCCTCTACAGCTTGTTGCCTATGATTGGCTTTCTTAATTGTTTTTTTGGGGGTTCTTTCTTTGAAATCCTACAATACTTTGAAGTTAAGCAAGAATTTTCCATTTTCAAGAAACTGGAAATAAATCTAATATTCCAGTTAGGATATTGGGTTCATTGGCCTTATCTACTTGTTCGCCCGAGTCCAAAATAAACCAAAATAAATTAGTGCGCCCCGTAAAACTAACGAGATAATTAAGTGCGCCCAGACCTAACAATTTGATAAAAAATGATGAAATACAGTCATATTTATTTTTAGAAGTAACTCTATATTTTAAACTCCAAATAGTTATGACTGTTTTTCATCATTATTCTACAAAATTATGAATTTTAGTCATTATTAAAACTCAAGTTTATGACTAGAAATCATCATTTTTAAAAATGATGATTTTCATTCTCACCCCTGACTGATCAATGTCCCTTGTTTTCGCATTTTCATGGTTTCAATTTGTCAAAATGTATGACACTATGCTGTCTACACCACAGGTCCCGCCATATTACGACTAATCTCTACTTTCGATTTAAGCGAATGTGAAACAATTCGTCAACTTGTACGATGTTTCATATAAAACAGAAATTTGATATCATCGTAGTCTGTTGCTTGGCAATGGAATTGGGAATTTTTAGTCTCAAAATGGGGAAAAACTAACGTTTTTTGGCATTGGGAATGGTACCGTTTATTGGTACCAGTTATATAAGGAAAAAAAACCCCGCTGTATCGTGATACAGAGACTGAAATACTGGTATTTACTATGTAATTATAAGTTTCAAAAATAGTTAATTTTTTGTTCAAACTTTTGACGTGTTTGAATTACAGTTACCAGAATTGTAATAAAAAATGTTGAAAACAGAACCCTCTATGCCGTAGAGGAAAAGTATTTTGGGACACTGAGAAAATTATAGTGTGTAAAGGTGTAAATATTGATCTTATATATTACATTTTTTAACATAGGGTACCCTGCGTTTACATGACTCGAAATAACTGATGGCCCGCTGGTCTGGGGCCAGTAAATTTTGGATTTGGGCTAGTGCTTTGTAGAAAGCACATGTCCTTGGGACCAGTGATTCTTTTTATGCATATCAAAATTAATCTACAGTTGGGCTAGTTAACTAGTCAGGTTTGTGCGTCCAGGTTCTATTTGAATGACTGATTTTTATCCCCTCGCAACAAAATTGGAGGGGGTATATAGAAATGCTCTTGTGTGGGTAAGTATAAGTAAGTGTGTGCGTAACGAAATTTAAGCAAGCAATAATTTATATTGGGATTGATGTGCTCTTTTGCGAGGGGATGCTCTGCCTTGCGGTGCCCTTGTTAAGGCCAAACAAAAAAATATGTGTGGTTCCGGTTACACCTCCAAAAAAATTAGGGTAGGTAGGTAGGTAATTTTTTTTTTTTTTTTTTTTTTTTTTTTTACAAAATGATTTTCTAAATTTTTCTAAATAATACCTATCACTGCTTTGCAAGTGACGTTTAGATGTGGCGTGATAATATACAAGTCAACATTGGTAGGGACACCCTAAGTTATGAATATGAAACAAATATTTTTAAATCAAAAATAATAAATACACTAATAATCTTATTAATTTCTTTTTGTAAAAAAAAAGTTTGAGGTGAAAATCCTTTTTTAAATCTATGTTTATAAATGAAATTAATGACTTTTATCCAGAGTAATTCTTATTTTATTTAATAATAAATTTTGAACGATAAACTAGAAAACAGACATAGAGTACTGCTACATTTAAGAGCTGTCAGAGGAAATATATTTAATATTGTTAAAATTTTAGATTCTTACAATGAAAACTTTTTGCCTCATTGAAGACTTTATACTTCCAAGCTCATTTCTCATATATATTGGTACTATGTGAGTTGACTTTATTCAGGTAAATTCAGCTGTCTTGTTTTTCACTTTTCCTCATCAACTGTTTTTTTTTTTTTTCTACTTTCTGTTTAAAAGAAATGATCCTGATTTAAATTATTTCATAATTTACAAGTTAATCTATCTTAAACATTGGGCTATTTCTTGCGTAATCAATGCAATCAAATGATGTTTTTCTCGTGTTATCTCCCTAACTCCCAAAGGCATATTACCTGGCCAGCTGTCTGTGAACGTATATTTATTTAATTTTGGCAAGCAAAAACAAAGCAAAAAACATGGTGTTGGAAAAAGGAATGCTTCCGCGCTATGCTAGCTTGCTTTAGATTTAACACTATTAATTGAAAACTTGCACTAAGCAGAGACATATATGTCTCTGCACTAAGTCAGTAAGTGTTGAAACGATCTTTTGCATGGAGGCCGCCATTGCTGAAACTTAAACTAATACCGGAGCCGATGACAGAAGGCGGGGAAAATTCCGGAAAAAATATGAAAATTGCCGGAAAAAAGTTTAAGGTCGGGGGTATAAAATAGGGACGGTCGGGTAACCGGAACCACCCATATTTTTTTATTTGGCCTAAGCACTGTTTTTGGGACAGTCTTTTTCACACCTACTAACCCAATGGGAAAGTGAAAGTTATCAACTGACCAGTAAAATTTAAAGTTAATAGCCTGAGTGACCAGTGAAAAAAATAATTATTTCAAGCCCTGATTTACCCCAAAGAAAAATGTTCAAACTCAATGAAGAAATCACTGTTGTTTATTTTAGTGGGCAAAATACCTAATAGTGTTCAATCTGTTTGCTTGGCCTATTAAAATTTAATGAATGCTTGATTTTGATCACAAGTTAAGTCATACACTGTGCATTTCAATTATTTTATTCTAGATCAAGGGCAGATTACTCTGTCTGTATGAAAATACCACAAAATGTTAACTCTTTTAGTGTGCAAAGTATAGACATGATAGAGGGCTCTAAATATACATGTATAAATAAAGATGAAAAAAATGAAGTTATATTTTTCCATGTTTTCAAAATACATTTTTTTAGAAAAATTATGGAAATTTCATTTTAACTCATAGTTAATATTCAATGTAAAATGTCATGATATTATTGTGAATTTTTTTTTAAAAAATCGTGATATATTTTGATACAAAATTTTTGGCAATACCCATCTCTAGTTAAAATTATGTCAAATTTATAAGTTCATTTACTGTAAAACGAGAAAATGTAAAATGTGAAATGTAAATGCAAGTGCTAAGGCATTCCCTCAAAAAAATTCTAGCACACTGGCAATTTGTTCCAAAATACTTTTGTCACAGTTGTGATTGTATTGCTTAGGGTTAGTAGGGTGTTGGAATGTGTATGATTCACAAAATTAATGGGACAAGGTTCAAAAGTAGCTTGTGTTCAAATGTTTGAGATTAATAAATTGCATTTAGTACTTGTGTAAAAACTAAGGTGCACATAAATCACCGATCAATTTTTTTTTATGGGCAGTTTAATGAAGGAATACTTGTTTAACTTAGGTTACTTGTCAGATGAGGGATATGTGAATTCTTACAAGTGCTTCATTAAAGAATGCCCACATCTTCAGGAGTACCTCACTTTAAAGAGGCGGGGTCAGAATTATCCCCTACATGTCAATGGCTTGACCCTCAACCAAATGCTGCAGGAATACGCTCAGTATAAACTGACAGGTAAGAACATGTTAATCTGCACTGATTACAAATTATAGACATTTAGCATATACATGTACATGTATTCATATAATGATATTTCTTTAGTAATGAAAGCTTATAATTGATTCACCTGTAAAGTATTGTTCAGTTCAGTAGCTGATTAGCATTCTGTTATGCAGATACATGTATGATTGTACTGTGTGTAATTCTTGTACAGATACACAAAGAAGGCAAACAATGGGGAATGCAGCTCTGTGGTCACAACTGGATGCTGTAGTGAGGACTTTGAAGGAACACACAGCATCTAAGCAAAATCGCAATGCTGATGGAGTTACTCAGAGCACAAGAGTAAGGCGCATGTTGATAGAGAAAAAACGCAGGCGAGAAACTGAGCGACGTCAGCGAAAACTGGATCTGTGTAGTAAAATCTCAGCCACCCAAGCAAATGAAAGGTTCACTGACTCAAGTGAAAAATTAGGAGTGGGCGTGACAGACAGTGAAATGTCATCAGAGGAGCCACCAGAGGCGGGGCATTGTGGAGTGTTGACCCCGCCCACCGATACTGACACCAGAAAAGACAATGGTAGGATTAGAAGGTCACAGGAAGAGATCAGTAGTGAGTTCTGATATTTACATGTAGTCATTAGATATTAATTGTTCTACCTTAAATTTTCTCAAAGAAGTAGTAAAGATGCCTGATGGAGATATAGTAAGAAACTTTGCTGTCATGATATTGTCAACAATATCATAAAGCATTTTGTGCTCATTTAGTGATATTGCAGTATTTTTCAAAGATTTTTAATTTTATATACATGACAAATTACAGATGTAGTCATGAAAAATGGACTACTTTTTTATGTTATGTGAGATTATCCTGTTCTTTCAGGGAGATCTGTGGACACAGATAACAGAGAGACAGAGTTTATCTTACATTCTGCCCCTCCCTCTGTTTCCTCCCATCACAAAAACTCAGTGCAGAGGTCCAACTCTGTATCAGATTTATTACACAACTCAGCCAAAAAACTACACAGAATGCGAGGCACTGTAGATAGCAGGATAGAAGGAATAGCATCTAAAGACTCAGACTCGCAGAAAAACCCAAAAAGAATGCTGAGCCAAAGTGATCAAGATAATTCTGGTGCAATACAGCTTAAGTCAGGTAAAGGTGAATCAGAAGACAAAGATGATGAAAATTCTAAGGAAGCAAACAAAATCAGGAATACTAGTAGACAGGACAAAGACACAGGAGAGAACTATGATGTTTTTCCCAGTGAACAAAACCAAGTCAGTGAAAACATTCCAGATGATACGTCATCAAAGAAAGTAGAATTGACAGCAGTGTTGTCTAATTCTGTGATAAGTTTTCAGAGCAAGAAAGAGGGTTTAAAAGACCATATGAACATGCCCTGTGAACTGACAAGAAGTCAGACTATGTCAGATGGTCTGGGCATGTCAAGTCCAAAACCAGGGAATCTTGTAGAGGAACAAGATAACAACATTGAGGTCCTGGGAGGTGTGCTGCCAGGGTTACCTATTGTAGAGAGTTTACAGTCAAGCGTGGAACAACCTTCAACTTCAAAATGCAAGGAGATGGATAGTCGAAGTGACCAGAGAGTTGTCCAGCAAACATCTTCTGAGGAAAATAGCCAAGAGTCATCAGAATCGGGACAGCCTAAGACTCCTGAGCAGATGGTCATTCCCTTCCAGCAGGCCCTGAATTTGACCGAGAGGATGACCACTCCTTTTCAACAGGCTATTAACTTGACCGAGGTAGGAAAAATTCCTGAGGCACCACATACACCTGTAAAACAGACTGACGAGACATCACAGACAAACATAGATAGAACTCCACGTAGAAAGAGGTATTTCAACTCTCATTCATTGATCTACTGTTTTCATGATTTTGAAATTCAAAATATACTATTATAGTGCATGGTTTTCTTTTGAAAAAAGTTTTTCTGTTGAAATAGCTACTCCTTTTATGCACAGTGATGTGCATGTTCACAGTTTTTATTTTCTCCAAGAACCCACAGTTGTTAAAAAGCTTGTTAACTTTAACTGCTAAGATCTATGTGGGGGCAAGTTTATTTTGAAACACAAACATTGAGTCTTTGAATTAAGATCAAATACATATTCTCTTTGCATTAAAGGCTACCAAAACAAAAGAAGAATCGGGGGAAAGGCAACTCAAGTTTAAATGACAGCAACAAAAGCAGAGATGAAAATTCTCTTTTGGTAGAAAACATAACAGTATGTAATTTTTGTGACATCAAATCAAAATTGCATCCTGATCATTTCTTATGCAGTGTTTAATATTGAATCTTCAAACCTTGTCAATTGATGTATGTTCAGGCATTGTATATCATGGTTCTAAAATAACTATCAATATAATCTGTAATTATGAAAATTGTAATTATACTTTCAGCTCTTCTTTAATGAGTTAATAAACAACTCCTTACTTCATGAACGCCTAGCAGCAAATATAAACAAAACACTGGGTTTGGAAACAGTGGAAAGACGTACAAGAAAAAAGTCGGAAAAATTACAAAACATCCCTGCCAGTCCAAAATCAGATAAGCCAGAAAAACCAGAGATAGCACCTACACCAGGGGAGTCGGAACCAGATAAAATACAGAGTGTAGATCTGCAGGAGGGACTAAATGTACTGTTGGATGATATCCTCAATATGAATGTAAGAGGGGAAATTTTGCTGCAATTTGGGTTAGGGTACAGTACCTTAACATGCAATTAAGTCCAAGTGGCTGATATATTGTGAAAATATATTTAAGTAGCAAAATTACACTCAATGAATTTCTCGCTGCCCTATATCATTATATTTTTATTAACATCTCTGAGCCTCATTGTGACGTCTTTTTAGCGTGAGTTTCTCTGTGTATATTTCTGAGTTTACACGAAAATGGCATTCAAATCAATTTCTTAGTTAGTATAGTAGAAAAACACAGCAAATGTAAATATTTAGTAATACCAGGCAGAAAATGAACGAACATATAGTGATTTTTCTAATGAATATGTACATTCCATGTTATGAAAGGAGTATTTTAATGATACTGTAAATGTATTATATTTTAGTTTGTACAAAATTAATCACAACAAGTTAACAAAGATCTATTTTAGTGCTATCTGATTATGCTAGATGTACATATACATAGTCAGAAACTGATGTATATGTATTTGATTGATCAGATGCTGCTTTCTGCTTCACCACCAAATGTAATATGTTTACAGAATATTTATGTTAAAGAAGAATTTCTAAATCTAACACTATGATATATCCTCTTAGTTACAGTCAAATTTCTGATACTATTTTTTTTCTGATATTAAATGTTTGATGTTTAAATAGGAGACCCAGATGACCGAGGTCCAGATAGGGGGAATTATAGAACGTACCAGCAAGGACCCCAACTTTGAATCCTTATTTAACCTCTTTCAAGGTATATTTCATCTTATTACATCGCATATGGAATTTCAGTAAGCAGTGAGATGTGTCGCAGGAATCTGTCAGTGAGCTGTTTTTCCTATAAAGAAGTGTTAGCATAGGAAAAGTAGTAAATTGGTTGTTATTTTTAAGTGGTTATGTAATAATTTTTAATAACAATAGATTAGACTAAGATCATTTTGTTCATCTGTTAACCTGAAAGTTTAAACTTGGGTGAAAATTTCTTACTAGCATATAATTTGAAAATGAGGTGCTTATAAACAAAAGTGCAACTTGAAAATCATTGACCTTAATATTAAGGAGACGAGTTTCTTGTACATGACTTGTTATTAAAGTTAAACAAATATGCAATTCATGTAATTTGATAAAAATCATATTAAATTTTGCTTGAGTTATAAATTTGATATTTGTTTTTAAGTAGATAATTTATAAATTGTATATTTTTGGATAAGAGATGGATATGAATTATTTATTCTGCAATGCCTTAAAGAGATTTTAAAAGACTTAAATGTATTATTATTTTCTTAAATCTTGACTTTGAAATGAATGTTTGTAGAGCCTCATTCTGCCTCAGAAAATCAGAAGACAGATTTTAGTGGGATCAAGCTGGAAATGGGGAAAGAAGCAACGATCACCAACCAGAGTCTTCCATCATTTACAGGTATGTACAATATTTTACCAACCATAGTCTTCCATTGTTTACAGGTATGTACAATACTTCTGGCTAAATTTCTGGTACATACATGTACATTTATTTCAAGTTTTAAAGTAGATGTTTCAGGGGAAAAGATTTTGTATGAAAACTTGTACACAGGATTCTGGTATAAATTGAATGAATGTAAAGATAATTGAAAGCAATTAGGAAAAATCTTTTTATTTTTATCCAACATAATTAGGGATGTCAGCGATATTCGGGTACTCGACTATCGTTCGATCATATCGACTAAAATTTTTTTACTTGGTTATTCGTTAAAAATTTCTATTTAAAAGTATTTATAAATTCAAGATAATAAACTTGGATCCGCCCAATTCATTTATTAACAGATCAATGTTTTCGTATGTAAAACTCAGGGTAAGGCTAAACTGTGCATAGAAAATTATTTGTGCGTCAAATTATGTTCGGCAAAACATGCCTCCAGAATCTACATTTTAAAGATGTCAGGATAGAAATACAGTTAAATGTACGTTATGGAGCTTATATGAAACTGAACTTGTATTCTGCAGTGGAACATGAAATATGATGTATCATATGCTGAGTCCGTCAAACCTACTGGAGTCTTCAAGTGAAACTTTCCTAGAAATTTCCCGCGGAAATTCCCAACTGCAGAGCCGGAAAAAAATTGCTATCACAAACATGATTATCAGGGATTGTCTACCCCTTTTTATTGTAAATGGAGAGGGCGTTCAAGAATTGATTGGATTAAAATTTGTAGATTCAAATTATGAAGTTTCAACCTTCAATTCCATAAGACCTGACTTAACCCAACTATATTCATAAACAGTAATTAAACAGCTGTTACATAAATTTAAATTCATGTAAATTGGAAGGGGGGGGGGGGGGGCAGTTATGAGCGTAATTAAATGGTTTTCTTTCTGATATTCATATCATGCCTGCAGTCATTTTAAGATTGTTTTGATTGTTTGCACGAATTCTCATAATTGAAATTTATAGCTATCTCTCTCTGTTTTTATAAGAGGTACGCTTTCATTGTTTACCAGTCATTAGTCACTGACACGTCACGTACAAATGGCTTCAGTTAACGGGTACATGTACTAGCATTATGAAAAGAAAGGACAAATGCGAGCGTTAGATATCCTGCATTTAGATAAAATGTGCAGTAAATATTATATTTGAAATCAAATATGTTGAATACATATATTTATTACTATGTAAATATTTACGATTCAAAATTCGTTGTATATTGGTGATAGCGTAGATTAAATATTGTACAAGTAGTCTGTAAAAGACAAATAGTAAAAAAATGACTTGAAAATTTTATTAATAAATGCAACGAATATTCGACTAACGTTCGACTAAAGCCTCCAACTATTCGACTAAGCTGTCCGAATAAAATTGACATCCCTAAACATAATCAAATGTTTATCTGAAGAGGAGAATTTTTAATGATATGGACAAATGCAATGCATTCTTAATGAACAAAATATAAAGTACATGGCTTCATTCTCCATTTCAGAGCCCATAGACTGCCCAGATCCCAGCAACACTACAAGTGAAGAGAATCTCATCATGGAAATACTACAGTCCCCCCAGCCGGGTCCCTCACAAAACTGCTCATACCAAAAAGGTGTATTGGACCAGACTACAAACTACCAGAAAGCGGAGACTGCTACAAATGTCTCTGGAATGGAATGGAGTCCTGCTCACCTTAACAACAACTTGACTGCTTCTACGCCTACCTCTACATCCACAGTAGCGATTGTGTCGTGGGGACAGAGTCAAACTGTGTCGAGAAATATTTTTGAATCAGTTCAGCCATTGATAGATAATCTTCCTTCTCAGAGAGCCCCAGAAACAAATGAACCTACCTGTGATCAGGATCGTGAACAGACGAAGCGCACAGATGTAATGCATAATAAATGTGATAGTCCCAAACCACAGTTGATTCAACTTGGAAATTCTGTCCCATTGGCTTCAGGACAAGATACTGTTGGAAGTCAGCAGCAACCTGTATGTTCTTCAGTGGTGATTTTCTCCTCTGGAAATTCAGCTGCCAGTAGCATACAGAATTGTTCAGCTGTTGCTATAGCAGGAATATCTTCAGGACCCGTTTTGAGTCTTATCAACAGTGTCATGTCCCCTTCAGTCAGAAAAGAACCCAATCAAGGTGGATCTCCATCCATAAACGACAGTATTGTGCCATGCCAGTCACCAAAGATTGGTGAAAATGTGAAAGGTCAAGAGGTCATTTCTTCTAGTCCACAACCATTTACAAAGTTGACAAACAAAATATATGTAAATGTTCCTTGTGATGTTCAGCAAGGTAAAAATTCACCGGTGCATTCCCCTGCTCAGAGAAAAACATTGACAAATCAAATGTTAACACCTTTACAAAGTATTGTTCCAACAACATTACACCAGTCTCCAAAATTCTCACAGAGTAATGCTGTACAGTCACCATTCCATGTGAGTGAAAATTGTAGAAGTTTAGCGTTACCTCATCAAAATTCGGGACAATCATCAACTCTTTCCGCAGATTCACCTCAACCAAATGTCGCATTGCATGTTTCTGACAATTACACCGACTCCCAGCAGCCAAATGTCTCTGAACAGGGGTTTCAGAAACATAGTGAAGTGATATCATGTAATGAAAGTATGCCTTCAGTTAAGGGGACAGATTCAGAAAAGTGCAATACACCCAAAAATACTCGTGAGAGATCTAGTCACTCAAAACCTGGAAAAGTAGATAAAGACAAATCATCCTCAAAGAAAGCTAGAGCAGGTGGTAGCCGATCCTTAAAGTCATCCAAAGATCAAATTAGCACAGATATGGTGGAGACTTTTGAGACATCAGTATCAGAGGCCCATGGATTCCCTGTGATTTCAGTCAAGAGTGTGATGAAATCCCCCCAGGAAGCCCCTCTGGAGATGGACAGAAATCTGACAACAGTTACAGACCCTGGTCGTCCACCTATGTCATACCATTCCTTTATCAATGGGGTTGCAGGGGAGGAGTGTAGTACTCCAGTGACAGAGAGAGCTGGGGCCAGGGATAGCCCCCACACTTCACACAGTACTACCAACAGTGGGGTGTTCTCAGAGATGATGGATTTTGTCTCCACACTGGAAAAAAGCATTTCTAGAGAGTCCAGCAGTAAAAAGGTTGACAATTTTTACATTTGATTAAGTCATAAAGGACAAGTTAGGTTTTGACCCCTTTTTTGGTCCTTAATTTGGGATGTACCAAAGAACGATGCAATAGTTCATAACCAAAAAACCTGTTGTCATCCCTGTTTTACATTGAGTATACATATGTCACAGGGAGGTCAGAAAATTTGTCAAATTCCAAGTTTTCTCATTTTTCAAATTTTCATGAATTTTAAGACAAATATTGTTTCAGAAAACATGGAGCACAAGCTTGCTTATTTACCAAATTTATATATTTCAATTCTTGCACTAGTTTCAGATATATGTACATCTTTAACTGAAAATCTCAGATAAGCAAGCTTTCGCTCCATATTTTCTGAAGTGAAAAGTGGATAAATATGTTCCAATTAGTCACCCTCTTGTGGCTTCATTATGCAATTTGAATTAAAAATCGATGCACGTTTTAAAAAAAGCATGTATAGCTCTAAATTGCAAATTGTCAATTTTTACTATGTTATGATTTTTATCAATTAGGGGCAAACTTCAGCTGTTACCATACCTTGTCCTTTAACTGTCTATGGCATGCATAAACAATTTAAATGAACAGACTTCTTCAACTGCATCATATGAATTTTTTCAGAGAAGTCCTAAAGACAAAAGTGGAAAAAGAAACAGCAGTAAGAAGAAGAAAGAAGGCAAAAATGAAACTGATTTTGCTTCACCAACAAAGAAATGTCAATGGTCACCAGGTAAATATAATCCTATTGCCAAAGTGTAGATGGTCTCTATGAAATGTTTTACTATTGTAGTGTGTTCCTAGATGTAAACACTTTTGTCTTGAAAGAATTTTTCAATATTTAAAAGTTTTACTGGAAAAATAAGAGAAATTTCAGAAGGCTTTTTCATGTTTACTTCCCCAATCAGTGAATGAAATTTCATATCATTTTAATTTTTATTTCATTATATCATTTTATCCATGTCAAAATGTGTAGCTCTTCCTCACTTTAATTACCTGTTATACCTCTATTGAGAATACTCAAATTTGATTGGCTTCTAAGAAGGATTTAAAACTCAATTATGACTCAAAAAAGTACTGTTTATGGCAATAATAATATTGATGACCTAGGAACCGTTGCAACTGGAGTATACATGTAATGACCCAGTCAATACATCCACTAAATATTATTATACTTCATTTTAATTATTCTATACAACACGTTGTCTGATTGGTTTAAGATTATCACATGACAGGGTCATAAAACTTCATATTTCCCTGTCGTCGCCATGCTTTTCATCATATTCAACCTCTTCGGAGACTTGGTGCATTTTCCCGCAATAGTTATTGTTTGTTGAACGAAAACTCCTGAGAGTAGTAGACATCACAATAGCCTGGTGCACGTCACAAAATTACTGACGGACTTCTGTAAATTGTTTCAGTAACACTACGTTAAAATTGAAAGTGAATTTAAGAGGGTGCTGAATTTGAAAGTTTATGCTTATTTTTAAAGTTTTTGCTTGTTTCAGTATAACAAACAATTTATCGCATGAATGTATGGGAAACATGAAGATTTATTCAGCCAAGAAATATCATATTCCCTCAGTCGAGGCCCTCGGGGAATATGATTTTTCTTGGCTGAATAAATCTTCATATTTCTCTCACGATCATGCAATAAATGTATAATGATCTGTTAATCAAAGTTCCCTTCAAATTAAACTTTATGTATATATAGAAATGATTATACATGTATGTTTAAAAAATCATGCTGTTATAAAATGGGCATTGTCAGTTTATGATTTAGAAAATGATGGATTTATACATCAATATTTACATTTCCAATGTCTTTGTCTGAGATAAAATTACAAATTGTAAAAATATTTTATTTCTACATAAATCTACTGGTTCGTCGATAGGTGCGGTTAAAAAAAAATCACGTGCGGGGCGGGACAAATAGAGACAGAAGCGGGGCTATTAGCATGGGAATTTGCACAATCAGGAGCATGTAAATATAAGGAATAACTGTCAGATTTTTTGGATTCATGATGATGATCAATCGATTGGCTTGCGTGATAATTTTATGCATAAACGCCTTCGGCGTTTATGCAAATTATCATGCAAGCCACTCGATTGATCACATCATGAATCCAAAAAATAAGACAGTTATTCTTTAATAAGATTTATTGTTTATATATGGAAAATTTCATTACAATGTCAAATTTAAGGAATGCAGATTTGGCTTTTTTATACTGTAAAATATCTATGCCTGATTTTCATTGCATTTAAGAACAGTAATTGTGAGTTTATAACAGTGCATATTACTGACAATCACAAAGTGTTTTTATATAAGTGAGTTGTGAAAAAAAATACTTGCAGGCAAAAACATTAATTAGCATCTTCACTTATGAATTCCTATCAAGGAACATTGCTAATTCATGAAGAACTCTCCAATATTCGATATCATATATTCCTTAGAGGGTTTGTTTAACATTGGTTATCAGGAAACTATTATAAATGACGTTTTCATTTAACAATTGAGGTTCATTGTTTTGAGTTGGGAATCCCAGCTTTGTGATTGAAGGTCGATATCAGGAAGTAAAGCCAAAATTTATACAGTTTTAGAAATTAGGCCGACAAAAATCATTTCATATTATGTCGATGTAATAAAACAATTCATTACCGCTTATGAGTTCAACATAATAAAATAAGGACCCTCGACCTGGCACACTCACTGACCTGACCTGACCTGACAACTTCATGGCCTCAGTCAGGTCAGGTCGCCTCAAGGGATCTTATTTCACCATGTTGATCTCATAAGGGGTATTCAACTGTATATTTTTAATTTGAGATACTTGTGTGTCTTTACAGATTTAAAGGCACTGATAAAACTGGTGACTCCTGAAAAGAAGGGAAAAACCAAAGGAAAGAAAAGTAAAAAGGTTGTCTTGTCTGCAGATAAACGTAGAAATCCGAAAAGAAAAGTCCGAAAAAGTAATGAGGAAAACATCAGAAAAGACAATAATGAACCAGAGATCACATCCAAATCATCAGAACAACATGGTGTGTTACCATCAATAAAAAACTCAAAGGTCATCCCAGAACCTGGATCAGAGGTCATCCCAAAACCTGGGTCAGAAGACATCCCAAAACCTGGGTTAGAGAATATCCCAAAACCTGGCTCTAAGGTCATGCCAAAACCTGAGTCAGAGGTCATCACAAAATCTGGATCAGAGGTTGTCCCAAAACCTGGATCAGAGGTCATCCCAAAACCTAGCTCTGAGGTCATACCCAAACCTGGGTCAGAGGTCTTCACAAATCCTGAGGCAGAGGTCATCACAAAACCTGGTTCAGACATCATCCCAAAACCTGGGTCAGAGGGCATTCCAAAACCTGAAATCATGAATAACTTGTCAATGCCCTCAATTTATAATTTCATGTCACCTGTACAAATCACAAGTGGTAGCACACAAAACATTGCTGGGAACATTTCCAGTGAGGTTGGACTAACACCCAAGACTGTGCTGACAGCAGTGTCTGCTCTGAAAGACAACAATAAACCCTCTTCAAGAAAGTCTTTACCAGTTCATCAAAATACAGAACAGGATATTGGATTAAGGGTTAAAGAAAAATCAACTGTCAAAGTTCCAAGTTCTCAGGCAGCATCAAATGCTTTGTCTTTCCCTGCAAGGCACAATACTGAAGGGTCACAACAGATGAATGCTGTTGATCAGGATGACGGGAGGATGCTAGATGATGGGGAAACAGACTACAGTAAAATTCCATACTCACCTAACCAAGACTTTCTTGCCTCACCTGTGCGTTACCATAGTCCAGACCTTGCTGTTTCTCATGGAAACCAGTACTATGAACATGTGTCATCTAGTCAGTTTGACAGTCCAAGTGTAGCCGTGCCACATGCCAGTCAAATACTCACACCCACTCTATATACACTAGCTAACACAACATCTCAAAACACACCTATTTTTTCAGACACTGCATCTGTTGCAACTAGTGAAAATGTGTATTCTAGTGGGATGACATATATACAGAATACTGCGCCATATCAGGGACAAGTTATAACTGTAACAGACCCAGCACTGCATTATAATACAGTGTACATTGACAGTAAAGGAACTCCCGCTGTGATTCAGACAGGCTTTGATTCATCAGGACAGAATGTTGTGCCTGCAGCAGAGCAGGACATTATCTCAACTCAGGCACCTGTGATGGATATTTTATCGGCTGCTGCTTCAGTGATAACTTCAAGTCCCCTGGAGACAGTTGATGGTGAACAGTTAAACTCTACTCCGGAGAGGAAGGACAAAGAAGAAAGTTTGGGACAGCTTATTGCCATTCCAGTGGGACGATATTATCCGGAGAAAAAACTCCATGTAAGATCTCTGGATTTTGGTCCAGATGCTGGAACAGTAGAAATCCGAAAACCAGGTTATGGCAGGGGACGCAAGAAGAAGACCTACAGTGATATTAAAAGCCCTGTAAAACCAGGGGGACTCATGAATAAACAGTCCAAGGGAAAAGCAAAGAGTAAAGATGATGTGAAAGGAAAAGCAAAAACAGATAAAAAAGATGATGGGATATGTAAGAAGCAAACCAATGTCCAGGTGAAAGTTATAGAAAAAAAGGATATAGTTGTTGAACACACAGAATTGAAGAACTTTGAAAAGGACGATTTAATTCCAGATGCTTCGGGTTCTGTATACATTGTAGAAGGAAACACCAGAAAGAAAATTAAGTTAAACAAGACACCACGTCCAATAAGAACTGTGTCACCTTTCTTTTTGCCTAATGCATTTGACTTGGCTTCGGGCATTATTCCAGTTAGATCAGAGATTTACAAGAAGGGGGGAAACATTACTGTCCCTGCTGGGGTAATTATGCCAAAATTTGAGCAGTTTTCCTCGGGAAGTGTTGAAGGAGGAGATAGTGATGTAGATGTTGATGGGGACTGCGAATTGCCAGATTTATCTCCAGAGCCTCTAAGTACTGGTACACCTGTGTCCAAATGTTCAGAATATGTACAGAGAACAGAGAATATACATGTAACTCCTGAAAAATTTTCATCTGTGGGTGTTGACAACCATACTAAAAAATCTTCATCAGTGATCACAATTTCAGATAGTTGTGATAGTAATGCAAGCAGGAAACCAAATAGTGATTCAAAGAGAAGAACTTTAAACACAGGGTCCACCAGTGTGGACAGCAACCCATCATCTGTGAGAAGCTTCCATGGGAAGCCAAGTGATATTTATAGTAGCAACAGTAATTCCCTCCCAGATCTGGAAAGTCCTGGACCCCTGATCAACATGTCAACTCCCCCAAAGAAAAGAATCACAGCTTCACTGAAACATGGAGGGGGTTGTTACTTTTTCTCAACTGCCTCCCAGGAAGGAAAGAATCAAATATCAACTGTGGAGTCACGAGAATGTGATACCACAAAGGAGGTGACAAGAGTGTCCAAGTCTCCACGAACCCCAAAGGGAAAACGAACGCCCAGTAAAGCTGTCAGGCAGAGCCCACGACTGATTGGAAGTCCTGGCCGTCTGTTACGAAGTGTGGTCTCACCTTCAAAAATTAATCCACAAAGAGTAACATCCCCCAAGTCGGTGACGAAAAAGAAAGGAGTGAAAAGACTAAGAGAGATAACTCCAGGAGAGGTAGGATGTGCTTAATTTTCTGTCTGAAATATAAAGGATAATTGAATGATCTTCTGTTTTATAAGTAAAAAATTAAAGAGGATATTAAAAAGATAGAGCACTTTGGGGTTTTTTATGTCTGATGAAAAGATAGATCTTGGAACTATTTTATTCATATTCGTGTCGTAATTTCAGCCAAGCAAGACAGAGAGAAAAAGTAAAAAGGTATTTCATTTTCAATATCATATTTTGTGCTGTAAATTAAAATTATATTGAAATAATTCTAAAACCATATATTTTATATACCATATATACAGCAATCGTTATCAGAACAAATTTTTAAATCAATTTCCAGGCACGAAATGGGAAAAGAACAGTTGACCTGAGTAAAGTGGACTTTGATAAATTCCTCAATAAAATACACAAGGCATAAGGTAATGTTATACAATTTTTATATTTTATGAGCTACATTATGTATTAAGTTTTAATTGATTGCTGATTAAAGCTAAGAGCATTAAGGACATACGCAACTAGTTTGAACTTTATTGTATTTTTCCCTGGAGTTGAAGAGTTCCAATACTTAATGGAACTGTGTCCTACATTTTAATGTCGATATATGCTATTGTACACTTCTTCTAAAACAAGTTTGGATAAGCAAGACATTTAGAATATATGTTAAGTAATTTTTGTATATTTTTCTTTGAATTATACAAGAATTTTCATCAAATGATATCTTTTCAAAACCCCTGGTAATGCATGCTGATTTTTTGTCTACGAACATCTGATGGTACTATAATCTTAAATCAAGAATATCTCGAAAAATTATCAGTAGGTAAGGTACGTTGCGTATGTCCTTAAGGAATGCAGGATTAATTTCATTTTTATAAAATTATTCCTTTTTTGTAACAGATGCCTTTCCTTAGTGAATGAAAAGACATGGATGTGATGAGCTATGATGAACAGTGACAAAGTTTACAAACATTGTAAAGGGATATTTAAAGAGAGACACTCCATGGATCATATTCATATTTAATTATTTATTTATACTTGAAATTAATTAGACTTTCCCTGTAGTTATGTTATGCCTGCCTGGAATGTGAAGATACACTGTTTGCTTTTGTTGTCGATCACTGTGTGTGGCTCAGTAAATTATTTATTTCTAAGATGGGATTTTGTCATTATTGTTATTTATAAAAGAAGACTGTATCAGAGTGGCGGACACATTTATAGCTCACCTGAGCTTTTCTGATCAAAATTTGTCCATTGTCGTTGACATCCTTGTAAACTCTTCTTCTCCAGAACTACTGAGCCAATTTCAACCAACCTTGGCACAGAGGATCCTTGGGTGAAGGGGATTCAAGTTCAAATAAAAAGCCACATCCTTTTCCAAAGGGAGATAATTAAGAAAAAGTAAAAATTGGGTAGGGTACTTTTCAAGAACCACTGAGCCAGAAATGATGAAATGTGTGAAAGTTCCTAATATAGTGTAGATAAAAATTTGTTCAAATCATGACCCCTGGAGTTAGGGTGGGACCAGTATGGGTGATCAAAATCTTTTTCTCAAGAACAGTTTAGTCGTGATTAGTCATATTTATATGGAAGTCCATATATATTCCATGACATAGAAATAAATTTGCTGATGAAGAAGGGCCATAGTATACACTTATCCACTGTGATGATTGGGATAGCTCTTTTATCAAACCCGCGACAGGAACTATTCCCCGAAGGCTTGTCCAAGGGGAATAGTTCCTGTCAAGAGTTTGATGAAAGAGCTATCCCATTTACAACCAGTGGATAAGTGTTTTACTACACTGATCCGCGCCTTGTATGGGGTAACAATCTTGTCCTTTCGACGCCGAATATAGTTACGTCTATAACGTCATGAATGCCGTACTGACTTCAACTGAGACGTAAAATAATTTGCTTCAGAAAAAAGCGTCAAATTGATAGTGAAACAAGCACCTGTTTAACCAATGTAATAGGATGTTTATAGTTTTCAAGGAAAATTCGAATAATAAAGTCATATTCATTCCAGTAGTTTTTAATCGCCATAAAGTAAATTTAGCCAATATTTATCCTGTAGCTAGCATATGCAAGGAAAGTCTTTAAATATTTCTTTTCAAGCTTTTTCAAAAAATAAATTAAATGTTATAAATATATGACTGCCGTCACGAGTAAAGGTCCTTAAATAGCCTGGCCCTTTCTGAATGCAAATACATGTATAAATAACTTTTTTAAAATATCTGATTTTTTTTCAGTATTTTATAAACATTTTAGTAAGGCACTTCAAAATTACGTTGACGTTACTGACTAAAAACCTAATTATGTCGCGTGCGTCAAATTTAGTTTCTAAACATTCTTAGAATTATTTAAATAATTTTAATCGTTTTAACACATACAAACTTGAGAAAATATTTTATTTTTTCTTCTAAGCTACTAGTATGTCCTAAGAAAAAGACGCCTTAGTTCATACTTCTAGAGGCAGATGCAGTTATTTCGTAAGGGAGGAGGGGGGAGTCTAGAAATTTAGGATCTGGAATCGGTTTATTTTCAGTCGAAAAAAATAATAGAATTCAACAAAAGGTTTTTTTTATATTTAAAACTCTAGCTCAATTAATAAAGTATATAAAGCACCCCCCCCCCCCTCCCCCCACACACTCCAAAAAAAAAAAAAAAAAGAATAACACGGATGGCCCTTAGAGAAATAAGAAATCCAACCCAAACAAGGGCACCGCGCATAAAGCGGGCCATCCCCTCGCAAAAAAGCAAATTGATTCCGATATAAAAAAGAAATTAATTTCAGTTATAAGCATGCATCCCCCCACCCACCACAAGCGTGTTTCTTTTTCCCCTCTAGCTTTGTTAAGAGAAGATAACAACACCCAAGTATCTCTGTATCACCGATGGATTCTAACGGAAAAAAATAATTCAGATGAATTCATGATGCATGATTTTTTTTTCTTAAAGTTTATTCTGTTCATAAAAAGTCATACATAAAAAAAATAAATCTTTTTCTACTTCCAAGCGGATATTTTTTTTAAATACGTTGATAAAATATTTTAAATAAGTTTCCATTGATCGTACAATTCAACTTCTTCGCCTGTCCTAGATATGGAATAAAAACAAAAAAAGAGGCGCATATTGATGTCAAGACATTGTTTTGTGAAAGGTTATTCCATTCATGAAAATTGAAACTTTTAGTCAATTTCTTAGCTTTTTCCAAGTAAATCAAACTCTATCAAAAGTGGTCTTCTTTTCCTTTTACCTGTGCTCTTGACGCTTACCACTTGGACACAACAATCGTACATCATTTCTTAAAAGAGCCGAAACTGAAATCTCAAAAAGAAAACATGCAAATTGGTTTCTGTAAAATAGATTCCCTAGACCGCGGAACAGTTTCTGGAAAGATTGGAAATATATATCTTACGCCATTTCCATCTTATTTGATGATTGATAATGATACAATTCGACACGGACGTCTGAGAAAACAGTGGATTGAAATTCAAGTTTGAGGTTGGTTTTCAATCCACTCAAGCTGATTTCATAGACAAAGTATTAATGTATGCTTCAAAAGTCAAATTATTTTCAATTCCCGAATAGTTTGAAAATTATGTAGATAAGCATTTTCAATCCAATTTCAAACGTATAGATGTATTCTTTCATCGGGCGGCCATTTGATTATAAGGGGGGGGGGGGGTTAAATTTATTTATGTCCATGCCTTCAGAATACATCGTTTATTTATTTCAAGGATGTCAAGAGATTTTATCTTATTTCAGTCTTCTTCACAGAAAAACGGTTGACAAGCAAAAACGGGAAAAGGGGAAGGGGGCTTTCCAAGCTCAAAAACTTTTTGCTTATTTTTAAGGACTAGTCCGCCCCCCCCCCCCCCTTTCGAAATCAAATGGTCGTCCTCTTATTATTTCTTAAATCAATTTCGAAATAGTTTGAAATTTATATAAATCAGAGTTTTCTGTCCAATGTTTTTTTTTAATGATTGATTGATTATTATCGGCTTTAAACAATAAAAATCAATCAATCATAAAACAAAAACATTGGACAGAAAACTCTACCTGATTTATATAAATGTCAAACTATTCCGAAATTGACATTATATGTGTTCTGGATCTATCATTAACACAGTGCGTACAAGAGTAGCTGAGGTGGATTGAAAATGAATTTCAATCCCATGTTTTCTCAGACCCATTCTCTATCATCAAAATGAATGTTTTGACTCTAACAGATGGAAATGACATAAGCAGCATATTTCAATCTTGCCATTTAATAATGTCGGAATGATTTGACCTTCGTGATCTAACTTCACCTGCTGGACATAGAAATATAGCCGTCAGTCACGTGTCATATTCAAGCTTATTAAAGCTCGTCATTTCAATCCTATAAGAAAAGGAATTCCTTGTAGCATTGCGCTTGATCCGATATTGACCTTTCTGCATGGATTCCTGGAATTAAAAAAATCTCGCGAGAGATTAATTACTAATATGTTTACAGCGATTGTCTAGTTTCCAACTCAGATTTACGAAAAGTTCTAAAAAAAAAAAAAAAAAAAAAAAAAAAAAAAATTGATCAAAGAGATACTTGTACTGCTCTTAGCTCTTTTCTATATATATATAATTATGCACATTTAACGGAGCTGGGCTTTTTTTGAGCAAAGTGAATTACAGTTGCATTAAATCTGAAATTGAAACTGAATATCTCGCGAGACTTGAATTTATGTTTACGCAATTATGGTCACCTATTCATCTTCCTCCGTGACATCAGCTAACCTGACATCTTAGCTTTTCATATTTCGATACAATAAAATGTTCATATAATTAAATAATACGTCCAACACACGTTTATTTTTTTTATATATGGCAATGCAGTTAAGCAATATCCATTTAATGTTTGAAACCCCATCGGTGTACTCGACTCTCTTCATAGGCGACTTAGCCATTTTCATAGTTATTATTTTAAAAATATCACTTTCTCGGAATCTTGAAATTACAGAACATGAGTTGTATTTTTGGTTCTTACCACACGATTGGATTAGAAACGGTTTTTTTTTCTCTAAAAGCAGAAAGGTGTGTGTGTAAGGGTGTGCGTGTGTACTTTTTCCTAAAGGTCATGTACAAGTCAACGGAACTTTCAGAAAATGTCGAGATATCGGGGTGTCGAGATATCAGAGTTGAAACTCGACATCCAAGCAGGGCTAATTTAATACAATAATCAGTTTTAAAAAAAAAACAAGAAAAAAAATGCTTTCTTACATATTAAACGGTCATCAAAGTTTTGCACGAATCTGTTTTTTTTTTCCGTTTTTTTCTTTTGCTAAAATCATCACTGTTGCTTTAATTTTCATCTTTCCCATAATGTATAGATTTCTTGACTGACTTTGTGCCTTCCGATTGGTGTGACGTGGTTGATGATTTTGAACATTTTTTTTTTATAATAGCTGAATGACACCCATAACCACTTGTTACATGTAAAAGTATTTTTTTTCCTTTTAGATCAGTGATTCATTCTCAGAAGATGTCGCATATGAACTTTTATCAGAAGTTCAATCATACTTTCTTTACAGCGTAATCCATTGTTTCTTCTTTTTCATACATATTTTCAAGCATAATTAAAATCACTGACGATGTAAATGTTATTTTATTATGCACACAGTATAATGCTCTTGAAGATCCATTATTCAAATTCTTTTATAGCAAAATTTATTTACTTATTTATTCATTTTGCAAAATTTGTACCCTAATCCTCCGTTTAATTGTGTGTTAATTTAGTATACAATTATTTATATAGGGGCTGTTTGTCCCATCCCCTCCTCATTTGTGTTGTAGTAGCTTCAAATATCCCATGTTATCAGTATTAATATCCGAACAAAGTTGGGGTCGCTTTTTCAGGTTGAACTTTTCACGGTTGCTTTTTATTCGGATTTTTTTTCTTGTCAATTATCTCTGCCCCCCCCCCCCCCCCCCCCAACAATCATTTGGAAATCGACGCTACACCTGAGCCTGTGTAATCGTGTATATCAATATGATTAACCCTCTTACTGCCCGAGGGGTCATATATGGGCTCTACCCACTGGCTGCCACAGGGGTCATATATGTCCCATCAAAAGTATTTTATATTAAAAAAGTATTGATCTATTCAGTGCTTAAGT